CTCCTGTATTGTTGCAGGAAAGGGTAAAGCCTATTATTTTTTTCATCATTTTGATACTGGGAAAAAAAATTGTCCCATTTGATACTAAATAATGTAACTCGCTGACCGTCAAAAAAAACACCGCCACACTTGAGTGCACTGTTTAAATCGCGGGCCGTCGAGGACCTGGCCTCAAAAAACCTAGCTTGTCAGCGGCGCTTTAACACCCGAGTCCGCACGGTGAACTTCCGCGTAAATCATTTTCTTTGTGTGGTTCAGGTTTGGGGAAGGGAGGAGGCCTGCTTGGGGCTCGCTGTTTTGGGATGGTGTCCAATGCCAGCGGAAGGTGGTGTTTGTGTGGTTTTTAGGGTTTGAGACCTGGGCGATGGCTTTGTTATGCAAGTGTGTGGTGAGCAGCTCTGGAATGTTCCGCTGGGTTGTGCAACAGAATGTGCGGTAACTCGGCACCCAATAAGCATGCATCTTAGCGGCAGGGATAATCGCATGGCAGTTAAAATACATGCACTGTATATCTCGTGGTGTGTACACATCGCCACTTGGGTAACCGCGGGAGAGACAACTGGTTAAAAACGGTTATCCATTTGCATCGCGTGTTATAATATTTTTTGTTCATCATGATGCTTGTTTGAATCTCGTGAAGCTTTTTCAGAAGGGCCCTGGCAAAGTTTTTCAGAGTAGGAGGGAGGGGGTGACGATCGTTGTGCAGATTCCAAGTAAGGCAATTTGCAAGTAACTTTTTTTATTTGGCTAAATCGGACCGTGACGCTGGCACACGATGAGGCCCTACCCTCGCGGACGACCTCACGGGATCTTTAACGGCCACTTTGAAGCAGACTGCACGAGGTACTTTTGTGGTCATTACACCTGCGGCCTTAACCAGGGTGGCAGGATTCAAACCACAGACCTCTGCACAGCGTTGGTGAAAGGAATCTCCATGCAGGGGAGGAGGTTGTTTGACCATAAGTCACCACGCTGGCCAGTGCAAGTTTAGAAACATGCTTTTAGAGAATTTGTCTGCTATAAATGTCCACGTGATAAGCAACTTCGTTGAGCTATCATTTGTGGCTAGGTCAGTCGGTTCTGAAATACTGCTTTATAGCTCAGTGGGCCTTACCTGGTAGAATAAAAAATAGTTTAGCTTTCGTTTAAGTTTGTGGAAGGGGGGGAGGAGGAGAGGCCCCAGTACTGGTTCAGATATCACTCGGTACCATTGGTGTTAGTCGTGGCCAGGAATCGAACTCGGGACTCGGGGTTCATCGCGCAGTGCGCTAACCTCCGTGCCACCGTTCCACCCTGATGTACCAAATGCTGCTGGAAAACATGGCTAAACAACAAACAAAACACCACTAAATGTTTCTGGGCAAATACCCCAATGCTGAAAAATTATTCAATTGATACTACACACAGCAAGCGGCAGCAGCAGCAGCAACACCAATATCACCCCCCCCCCCCCCCCCCTTTCGCTTTGAAATCCTGGCAGGACTCTCTTGAATAAGAGTCTTGAGACGCGGTGAGACTTCCCTCGGTACACAAGGATAATAATAAATATTGCTGGTCTAAAGAGGAGGCCACGGAGTGAGTGTTGGATGTAAATATCTATTTTTTTGTAGTGGCAAGCGGCCATGTTTGTTAGCTTCACGCATGAATGCCTCTTCCCACATCGCTGCTCCTACAGGCATGCACACACACAAAGACAGATGCCCCTTGTAGCTTGAAGAGACTGTTGAGGCAAGTGTTGTTAGCGAGCGCCTCATAAAGGCCTGCAGTACCACGCCCGGCCACCTTTGTCTCACTAGAAGCGATGTTTGCACACTGCACCGGGTGCTTATTTGAGGCTGAATCGACCTAGAGGAAGCCTGGGACCCGTTCAGATAACCATCACTGGTGCTGGCCGTGAGCAGGAATCGATATCTGGTCGCCGGGTTCACAGCACAGCGTACTAACCGCTGCACTACCGCTCACCACCAACACACACACCCACGCACGCACGTACATGTACACTTACGTAAACATGTTCACACGGACCAGCACTCGGCATTTTATTGCTTCCAAAGTCTCATGCTCAAGACCGCCACACCAGAATGCTTGCTCTAGAGTAGATAAATGTGACCGCACAGTACCTGGCTATCGATCCCATCGCCGTGAAAGCTGCCGCCGCTTTCCCTTAGCAGGGTCCAGGTGATGGTGTAAGGCACCCCAGTGGGGGTGTGTGTGTTGGTGCTGGTGTGTGGGTGTGTGTGTGTTGGTGCTGGTGTGTGGGTGTGTGTTGGTGCTGGTGTGTGGGTGAGTGTTGGTGTTGGTGAGTGTTGGTGTGTGGGTGTTGGTGTGTTGGTGCTGGTGTGTGTGTGTGTGGGTGAGTGTTGGTGTGTGTGTGTGTTGGTCTGTGGGTGCTGGTGAGTGTGTGTGGGGAGCGGTGGCGCAGTGGTTGGCGCACTGTGCTACAAATTCAGCGACCAGAGTTCGATTTCTGCTCACGACAAACACCAGTATCGAATATCTGAACCGGTCCTGGGCCTCCCCTAGGCCGACTCGGCCTCAAATGAGTACCTGGTGCGGTGTGTAAAGATCGCCGCTATGGAGACAAGCGGCCGGGCGTGGTGCTGACCGCCCACCCCCTCTTGTGCCGTGCCAGCCTTCATAGGTGCTCTCTAACAGCACTTGCCCCAACAGTCTGTTAACGCTATATGGGGTAGTGTGCGAGGTGTGTGTGTGTGTGGGTGCATGTGTTATGGGGAGCGGTGGCACTTTGCTTAACAAACTGCGCTTAAACGCCGGCGCACCTGAGTTCAATTCCCTGCCATGGTTAATGTCAGCGGTGAGGGATATCATAACTGCTTCCTGATGCTCTCCTAAGTCGACTCTGCCTTAAATGTTGATGGTTGAGCTCATTGGTGATCTAATGGGTGGGCTCATTGGTGAGCATTGGAAGGGGATCTCTGCCTTTGTGCAAGTATGAGGCTACGTGTGTTTGTGTAGGTGAGGCCGTGCGCGTGGGAGTGCCAAGTCTGCCTGTGGCTCCCCGCGAGTGTTGTGTGTACAGCGAGGCTCTCGGGGTCTCTTGGGAGGCAATCCTGTGTTTGTGTGTCTTTCCGTCACCCGTGAGAGATGACGTTTCTGGCTGTGCGCCGCGCGCCTTGATCCGCGAGCCGTGCGTGACGCCTGTGTGCGATGATGCCGGGTGCCTTATAGTGTGTTGCTCTCATCGCACCTCTGTGATGCTTTGTCTTGTTGCGTGTGTTTGACGCTGTGCGAACGTATCTCGGCGTGTCCGATGCTGCACGTGTCTGTGCGTGCATGACACTATGCATGTTTCTGTATACGTGCGACGCTGTGCGCGCATGTCTCTGTGTGCATGACGCTGTGCGCCGTGTCTCTGTGTGTGCGACGCAGTGCGTGTGTCTCCGCGTTTCTCTGTGTGTGCGACGCTGTGCGCGTGTCTCTGCACTTGTCTCTTTGTGTGTGACGCTGTGCGTGTCTCTCTCTGCGTCTCTCTGTGCGTGTCTCTCTGCGTGTCTCTGACGTGGTGCGCGTGTCTCTGCGCGTCTGTGTGCGCGCGACGCTGTGCACGTGTCTCTGCTCGTGTCTCTGCTCGTGTCTCTGCTCGTGTCTCTGCTCGTGTCTCTGCTCGTGTCTCTGCGCGTGTCTCTGCGCGTGTCTCTGCGCGTGTCTGTGTGCGTGAAGCTGTGCGCGTGTCTCTGCGCGTGTGTCTCCACACGTGTCTCTGTGTGTGCGTGACGCTGTGCGCGTGTCTCTGCGCGTGTGACGCTGTGCGTGTGTCTCCACACGTGTCTCTGTGTGTGCGTGACGCTGTGCGTGTGTCTCCACACGTGTCTCTGTGTGTGCGTGACGCTGTGCGCGTGTCTCTGCGCGTGTGACGCTGTGCGTGTGTCTCCGCACGTGTCTCTGTGTGTGCGTGACGCTGTGCGCGTGTCTCTGTGCGTGTCTCCACACGTGTCTCTGTGTGTGCGTGACGCTGTGCGTGTGTCTCCACACGTGTCTCCTGTGTGTGCGTGACGCTGTGCGCGTGTCTCTGCGCGTGTGACGCTGTGCGTGTGTCTCCGCACGTGTCTCTGTGTGTGCGTGATGCTGTGCGCGTGTCTCTGTGCGTGTGTCTCCACACGTGTCTCTGTGTGTGCGTGTCTCTGTGCGTGTGTCTCCACACGTGTCTCTGTGTGTGCGTGACGCTGTGCGTGTGTCTCCACACGTGTCTCTGTGTGTGCGTGACGCTGTGCGTGTGTCTCCACACGTGTCTCTGTGTGTGCGTGACGCTGTGCGTGTGTCTCCACACGTGTCTCTGTGTGTGCGTGACGCTGTGCGCGTGTCTCTGCGCGTGTGACGCTGTGCGTGTGTCTCCGCTCGTGTCTCTGTGTGTGCGTGACGCTGTGCGCGTGTCTCTGTGCGTGTGTCTCCACACGTGTCTCTGTGTGTGCGTGACGCTGTGCGTGTGTCTCCACACGTGTCTCTGTGTGTGCGTGACGCTGTGCGTGTGTCTCCACACGTGTCTCTGTGTGTGCGTGACGCTGTGGCGCGTGTCTCTGCGCGTGTGACGCTGTGCGTGTGTCTCCGCACGTGTCTCTGTGTGCGTGACGCTGTGCGCGTGTCTCTGTGCGTGTGTCTCCACACGTGTCTCTGTGTGTGCGTGACGCTGTGCGTGTGTCTCCACACGTGTCTCTGTGTGTGCGTGACGCTGTGCGTGTGTCTCCACACGTGTCTCTGTGTGTGCGTGACGCTGTGCGCGTGTCTCTGCGCGTGTGACGCTGTGCGTGTGTCTCCGCACGTGTCTCTGTGTGTGCGTGACGCTGTGCGCGTGTCTCTGTGCGTGTGTCTCCACACGTGTCTCTGTGTGTGCGTGACGCTGTGCGTGTGTCTCCACATGTGTCTCTGTGTGTGCGTGACGCTGTGCGTGTGTCTCCACACGTGTCTCTGTGTGTGCGTGACGCTGTGCGCGTGTTTCTCCGCGTGTGCGATGCTGCGTGTGGCGCCGCATGTGGGGCCTGCAGAAGCCAGGCTCCCTCGATGGGGCGAGTCACGCTTGTGCCGCTCCCCGTGCCTTCCTGCGCCAAGTTCAGCAACCAGCCCGACATCGCCTCCAACAAGATCCTCATACTGGAATTGACTGAATGGTTATGTATATGGATTTTTAATAAACACTAAGAGAAGTAATTTTAATTCGAGTTAATCCTTTAAGCTTCTGCACCAAGCCAAGCTTAGCATTCTTATTAAAACGCTCGTTCGCCGAGAGCGAGAATCGTACGTCGCTAGGGCGAGCGGCGGAGGGATCCGCTGGGTTTGCTCGGAAGAAAGCACGAGGGAAGCGGAGTTTGGGGGAAGGGGGGGGTAGAGGGGGGGGGCGACAAGATGGAAGAAGCCCTCCTGGATGGGGCGTCCAACCGCAAGCATCGGCGGAACCCGGAGCCGCCCGCGGGCGTCAACCGCAACAGCCGCAATAACAACCACGGCGGCGGCGGCGGCGGCGATGAAGCCAGAGGCAACGGTCGCGTGCAGGACGGCGCCGCCCGCTCGCCATCTGAAGGAGACGCGACGATGGCGTTGTTGGGAAGAGGAGGAGGAGGTGGTGGGGACGAGGCGGAGAAAGCGGTGGAGCCCTGGCCCGGCAAGGAGAGCGGCAGCGGCGTGGCCGCCGTGCCCGGCGGGGATGGGGATGAGTCTGAGAGCGACAGCGACAGCTCGGTGGAGGAGCTGCCCCTGCGCCAGTGGGTGATGAACGGCGCCATCACCTTCGGGCGGGAGTTCTGCTACGCGGTGGACACTGCGCTCGTCACGCCCGTGCTGCTCACCATCGGTGCGTGCGCGTGCGTGCGCGTATGCGCGCGTGTGCTAACAACACGACCCAACCGCTTGTTAAGGCTACACGCTATGTGTGTGTGCCAACACGTGCACACACACACATAGCGGGGCATACACACACACACATTGGCAAAGGCACACTGGCGCACACACACACACACTGGCATGTATACAAACACATACCAGATTGAGGCACCACCCCTTGCCATTACATACCTGCGTGTGTGTGAGTGTGTTTGAGCTTGAGACTGGGGTTGGCATCGTCCCCCACTCTTGATGTCGAGGGGAAATGGGCGAGGTTTAGGACTGTGGTTCATGCAGCTGCAATGGCTGCTTTGGGTACATGGTCTAGACCTCCTCAGAGACCCTGGCTGACAGAGGAGGTGTTCAGGCTGGCTGAGAAAAAGCGACAGACCGACTCTCATCGTCTACAGCATCCCACGTCAGAGAATGAGGAGGCTTACCGCAGCCTTCGCTCGGAGGTTCGGAGAGCCGTGAGGCACTGCAAGGATGGTTGGTGGTCACGAGTTGATGAGGAATTGGAGTCTGCCTGAATGGCCTGCAATCACAAATCGCTCTTTAATTCCATCGAAAAAGTAACCTGCAGCGCCACACCTATTACCATAATTAGGGGAAACAACGGTGATCCAATCTCTGACCCCCAGGAACAGGTTTGCAGATTTGCTGAGCATTTCTGTGAGGTTCTGGGGGAGGAGAAATTCCTCAACCTGGAAAACATCGTGGCACAAAGTGAGGATGACCCTGCTGAGGCTGCGGTGCCTCAAATATCGGAAGAAGTCACCCCCTGTGAGTGGTTGACTGAGGTGCCATCTGTTGAGGAAGTACTGAAGGCGATCCAGAGCCTGAGACCAGGAAAGGCACCAGGCAGAGATGATCTCCCAAGCGAAATGCTGAGGGAGGGTGGCGTTTGTCCACAGACTGCCCTACATGACATCATAACAACAGTCTGGACCACTGGATGGGTTCCGCAGGATTGGAAGGATGCACTGGTGGTCCCCTTCTTTAAGAAAGAGGACCGCACAGACTGTAACAACTACAAGGGCATCTCACTCCTCATTATTGCCGAGAAAGGTCCTGGCAAGGATTATTCAACATAGCCTTGCCAGCCATGCTGATGAGAGGCTTGCGGAGCCCCAATGTGGTTTCAGGAAAGGGCGGTCCTGCACAGATGCCATATTTTCTGTCCGTCTGTTACACCAGAGGTGTAGGGAATTCCAACAAGACCTACCTCTCTGCTTTATTGACCTGGTCAAGGTCTATGATACCATCAGTAGGCCTGGGCTCTGGGTTGTTCTTCGTGCTTTCGGAGTCCCTGACCCGCTGCTCTCGATCATTAAGGACCTTCATGATGGTGAGTGGGCCTGGGTAAAACTACGTGGCCGGGAGTCGGAGCCATTCCCTGGGGTGCGCCAGGGATGTCCTCTGGCTCCCACATTATTTAACATCTTTTTCGACCACGTAGTTCATGAAGCCTTCAATAGCTGTACCGGAGGAATATCCATCTGGTACAGATACATGGGAGGCTGATCGATGCCCGGGTGCGGTCAAGGGATGGCTCCCTATTGATCAACCATGTTATGTATTCCAATGATCTGGTAATAGCTGCTCACTCAAAGGAGGAGTTGGAGGCGCTGCTGCTGAACCTGGAGCTTGCCACTTAGAGGTGGGGACTTACCATCAGTCCCAGCAAAACTAAGCACCTGCCTGGGTATTTTGTACCATCGGACACTCCATCCCCACAACTCCCAATTGGTGATAGGGCAGTTGTGGAGAGAGTCGAGAGTTTCCCATACCTGGGCAGTGTGCTTATGACCAGCTCCGGTTTGACAGCAGAGGTCTCACTCCGAAACAGTCGAGCGGCATATTTTCATCGGTTGCGTAACGCTGTGTGGAAGCTACCTGGTCTGTCACTCCGCACTAAGCTTCAGGTCTTCTCGGCCACGGTCATTCCCTCCCTTCTCTACACTTGCGAAACGTGGACCCCCCTAATGGAACATCTTCGCCGGTTAGAAACATTTAGGCTGGCCTACCTACGATCCATCCTGTGTTTAACCAGGCTGGATTGTGTGAGGAGCTCACATACCCTTGAAAGATCTGGACAAAGTCCCATCGGTGAGCTCCTCTGGCAGGCAAGGCTGCGTTGGCTGGATCATGTAGACCACATGCCCAGCCACTGCATGCCTAAACAGCTTTTGTTCGGCTGGATCGAGGGGGCTAAACGGGCGCGGCACGGGCTGGAGAAGAGATGGAGTGATGTGGTACTAGGGGATGTGGAGCTGAGTGGACTAGCCGATGACTGCTCCCAGCGGGGTCAAGATTGGTTTCTGTGGAGGTGGCTCGTGAAAGACGCTACTGGACAATTGGAGGCAGTCACCCTCCAACTAAAACGGCGGGGGGAGGAGCGACGCTCACAACAACGAGCGGAGCGCCGGGTGGCTAAAGCACAGCAAAGTTAGCACAGATGGGGGCACAGGTGGTGCATCAGCCAGTAGTCTCTTTTTTGTCGACCCGTGGCATCTGGGTCTTCCCGTGACCTCCTGCCAGTGGGCGTTCGACACTTCACGTGGCCTCGACGTGCACATAGCCTGGCGCAAGCGTCGTGGTGACGTTACCCGCCACTTAGTGGCGAATGGCGGTTGTTGTTGTGGAGGGTGGGGGGGGGCACCGCTGCTCAATCTGCAAAGTGCTACTAAGAGATGGTGCCTTACCATCAGCACCACAAAAATAGACCACCTGTCTGGGTATTTTACGTCGTAAAATGTTCCCTGGTCCTCTGGCTCTGTTCTCCATGAGAGATGGGGGCAGTTGTGGGGAGAGTGGAGAAGTTTCCTTACCTGGGCAATTGTTCTTATGATCAGCTCCGGTTTGGCAGCGGAGGTCTCGCTCTGAATCGCAACAACGACTTGAGCACTGGGCAGCTAAAATGCAGCGAGGTGGCACAGTGGGGAGCACAAGTGGTGCATCTGCCAGTCATCTCAGTAAACCCATAACACCTGGGCCTAATTCCGTAACCTTCTGCCGGCGAGCCTTCGAAACCTCACGTGGCCTCAAAGTGTGAGACCGGCGCAACGTTACGGTAGGAAACGGTAGTGTCGTGGTTAGCGTGCTGCTCTCTGCAACCTGGTGCTCTGGGCTCATTTCCCACTCACGGCCTTCATCAGTGGTGAATATCTGCACCGACCTAGGCCTCCCCGAGGTCATGGTGTGTAAACATCAGCACTGGGGAGACTAAGGCGGTCGGGCATGGTGCTGGCCACCCACCCCCTCGTGTGCTGTGCCGGCCTTCACAGATGCTACTCGCTAACAGCACTTGCCCCAACAATCTTGTTAAAGGCTATACGGGGGATCGTTGTCTTTCGGTGTGTGTTTGTTTGGAGCAGGCCTGCCTGAGCAGTACTACTCGCTCACGTGGTTCCTCAGCCCCGTGCTGGGTCTCATCTTCACGCCGCTCATCGGCTCGGCGAGCGACCGCTGTACCCTGCGCTGGGGCCGGCGCCGCCCGTTCATCCTCGTGCTCAGCATCGGCACGCTCATCGGCATCATGCTCTTCCTCAACGGCGCCAACATCGGTGCCCACCCGTCGCGCGCCCCCCTACACACGCGCGCGCATGCACAGCCCTGCGCACACACACGCCGCCCTGCACGCGCGCGCATGCATTGCCCTGCACACACACGCTGCCCTGCACACACGTGCGCGCATCACGCTTTACGCACGCACGCACGTGCACCGCCCTCCCCGCGCGGGCACTGCCCTGCACACACAGACAAAGATCCCCCGCCGTATAGCCACCTTTGTGTCCCTCGTGGTGATATTTACACACCGTACCAGGTACTCCCTTGAGACTGAGTCGACCTAGGTGAGGCCCAGGACCAGGTAACATAGTTATCACTGGTGCTGGTGGCCGTGAGCGGGAATCGAATTGGGGTCGCCGGGTTCGTAGCGCTAACCGCTACACTGCCGCTCCCCGCGCACACACACACACGTAAACACACACCACCCCCTGGTGGTGATGATTTGCTTCCGACTCGCCGCCACGGTGACGCTTGTTGCAGGGCTGGCGGTGGGCGACGTGCCGGGCGAGCAGCTCGTGGGGATCGTGGTGACGGTGCTCGGGGTGGTGCTCCTGGACTTCTGTGCGGACGCCGCAGACGGCCCGGTGCACGCGTACCTCCTGGACAACGCCGACACGGAGGAGCAGGACCGCGCGCTCAGCATCCACTCGCTTGCCGGCAGTATGTGCACGCACAGAGACGACGGCACAGAGACAAACATCCCTCCCACCACCCGCCATTATTGAAGCCAAACTTTATTGATGAGCGGACGATAATTCGCCTTTCGCGTAATAAAAAAATGACACATCCCCATCAGCCACACGGCCTTCTGGGAGTGCGTGATTTTAGTAAAGTTGGCTCAAAAACAAGTACTCACCCTTTGTACCGGTGTTGATATTCAGAGGCATCAGCACCTCCGATTAGCACGGTTGGCTATGTACGGTGCAAAGGAAGTTCAACACACATGCAGCAGAGTAAGGCGTTTCTTGAACCAATGCTGATGAACTGCCAGATATTTTAAAGTATGTATGCATGTTGAACTTCTTTTGCACCATACGTAGCCAACCGTGCCAAGCGGGCCCTCTCTTAGGTATTGGCCATAAGTAACCAAATAGCAGACACTAGACTCGCTTCACAAATCTATCTTCCATTCCGGGCCTCCCTTCCCATAGAGAGCCACGGGCTCGCAAGAAGAGAGCCACGGGCTCGCAGGGAGAGCCACGGGCTCGCAGGGAGAGAAAGCCACGGGCTCACAGGGGGAGAGAGCCACGGGCTCACAGGGGGGAGAGAGCCACGGGCTCACAGGGGGAGAGAGCCACGGGCTCACAGGGGGAGAGAGCCACGGGCTCGCAGGGAGAGAGAGCCACGGGCTCACAGGGGGAGAGAGCCACGGGCTCACAGGGGGAGAGAGAGCCACGGGCTCACAGGGGGAGAGAGCCACGGGCTCACAGGGGAAGAGAGCCACGGGCTCACAGGGGAAGAGAGCCACGGGCTCACAGGGGAAGAGAGCCACGGGCTCGCAGGGGAAGAGAGCCACGGGCTCGCAGGGAGAGAGAGCCACGGGCTCGCAGGGAGAGAGAGCCACGGGCTCGCAGGGAGAGAGAGCCAGTCCCACGGTGACACCGCGCATGTGCCCCGCCACAGGCCTGGGCGGCGCGCTGGGCTACATGATGGGTGGCATCGACTGGACGCACACGCCGCTGGGCCTCGCCTTCCGCTCGCAGCAGCAGGTGCTCTTCTTCTTCACGTCGCTCGTGTTCACCGCCTCGCTGCTGCTGCACCTCTTCAGCATCCCCGAGGAGGTGTACACGGGGCCCGTCAGCGACGAGGGCTCGTCGCGCGCCATCAACTCGGCCCGCGCCAACTCCTCGCTGCAGCCGAACCTCGAAGAGGGGGAGGGGGCGGCTACCGACGCCGCCGACGCGGCGGCGGCGTCGTCGTCGCGCGACCCGGAGTGCGGCCTCGACGACCGCGACCTGGACGACGAGTCGGGCGGGCCGGCGGGCGACGGCGGGCGCTCGCAGGCGCTGTCGTGCCTGTTCGCCGACGAGGTGCGCTCGAACCACGAGGTGTACATGGGCCGCGACGACGACGACGACGTCCACGAGGCCGAGCTGCTACGATCGCAGAGCGACTCGGTGCTGCACATGGGCGACGTCGGCTCCGAGCTGCTCTACCTCGGCTGCATGGAGCCCTCCGAGTTCGACGGCCCCTTCATGACGCCGGCGCACGCCACGGCCGAGGCCGCCCGCAGCAACGACAGCCTGGCCGGCGCCGCGGAAGACCGGGAGGGAAGCGACGCCCCGTTCCTGCTGCCGCCGCTGGACGACGCGGGCGCCGGTGGCGAGCTCCTGGGGGTCGCGGCGGACGGAGGAGTGGGGGACGGGCGCCGCCTGGCCAACGGGACCAAGGCGAAGGGAAGGCCGCAGCAGCAGCACGGCGTGGGGCTGAGGCCCCGCTCGGCGTCCATGCGCCGGCGGCACCAGCAGTTCTACCAGCGGCAGGCGACGTACGACTTCTACGCCTACTCGGGGCGGCTGGGGTCGCACCGCTACCGGCACCGGCGCGCCAACGCCTTCCTGCTCATCAAGGCGTCGCGCAGCCTCAACGACCTCTACGAGCTGCAGCGGCGACAGCGCATGAGGATGCAGCAGCGCACGAGGTGACTGCACAAGCACCGTGAACGCTCGCACCGTGAACGCTCGCACCGTGAACACGCACCGTGAACATGCACACCGCCCAGCCAAGTGAAAAACGCATCCCCAATTATCTCCCACATTTCCAGCCCTAATTAAAATGTTTCCCCTCCGCTGGTTTGACCCTGGGGTCAAAACTCGTAATGGTTAATCCCGGTGTCCTCCTGATCTCCTCATCATCATGCTCCCCCGCCCCCCACCCCTGTTGCAAGCACAAAGGCAAAAATCCCCCATGTAACCTCAACAGGTTTTTGAGACAAGTGCTGTTAGCGAGCACCTATGAAGGCCGGCATGGCACACATCATCGTCACCTGACCACTGATCCCCCCCGAACTCCGATCTCCCCCCGTGACCGCTGCGCCAGGCTGCGGCACGCGAGCAGCGCGACGGAGGAGAGCGAGGGCAGCGAGTCGAGCGACGAGGTGGAGATGGAGATGTCCGTGCGCCTGCTGTGGCTCTCCATGTTCAAGATGCCGCGGCAGCTCCTGCGCCTCTGCCTGTGCCACCTCATCACGTGGGTGTCCATCATCGCCATGTCTGTCTTCTACACCGACTTCATGGGCCAGGTGGTCTTCCAAGGCGAGCCTACGGTACGCGTGGCAATGCACGCACGCATGGCAACGCACACGCGTACGGTACAACGGGGCAAGGAACGTAATACTTATCTATGTGCCTCTGTCGGATGTTTTAGATTTATCACGTGATGCAGTTTTTGTTGTCACTGTTACGCCGATTTCTATTTGCTTCATTGCTGTGCTGTGTTTGTGTTGCACGTTGTCCAAATCGGAATATTTATATTGCAGGAGGAATCCGATGAGCTATAAAGCTCTTTTTTTTCACAGATGTCCAGTAGAGGGCAAGTCAGAACGTGAAATCAACAAACAATGCACAATCACGATAGGAGTGCAAAGTATAGGAAAGATGAACAAATAATTGTGGTTACCCCCAGGTCACTGGCAGATGAGACTCTTATCCTGGTCTCTTCTCACCTGAACCGGTCCTAGGCCTCCGCTGGCGTGGCATGTCAACATCGCCACTATTGACGCCGAGGGTCGTGGTGCTGGCCACGAAGCCCTCCGCCCTCTTGTGCCACAGTGCCGGCCTTCGTAGGCGCTACTCCGAAACAGCGCTTGCCCCAAACTAAAAACGAAACTAAATTATTTTTATAGCTCTTTTTCAGAAGCGACTTGGCCATGAATGATAGCCCAGCGAAGTGGCTCATCGTATTAAAATGTAGAGCACCCAGCTACCCTAAACGCGTGGTGATGTTGATTCTAAACGCGTGATGATGTTGATTCTAAATGTGGGGAGAAAAACCAGAGGACCCGGAGAAAAAAAATCTGCACGACCACGGGGAGAGAGACGCGCAAACTCCAAATATACAGCAGGAGTCAGGTTCGGGATCGAACCCATGAACTCCTGCATACCAGGCGAGGTAGTGAACATCTCCTAGCCACCGGGGCACCCGAACAGTCTGTTAATGCTACACGGCGGGTGGGGGGGTGGGGGGATTTTTGTCCGTGCAGGCCCCCCACAACTCGACGGAGCTGGAGAACTACAACAAGGGGGTGCAGTATGGCTGCTGGGGCCTCGTCATCTACGCCGCCACGGCCGCCCTGCTCTCCGGTGAGGCCGCCCTCTCGCTCGCGCGCGGTCACTCTGTCTCTCTCGACGACTCCACTTCCAGCGGCCGCGTCTTATCTCAGATTATATTTGCTTATAGAGAGAAGCGCCCGAGCTCCAAGGCGCTCTCTCTCACGGAACTTAAAAAGCGGAAACAAATATAAGAGTGGATTAGATGGCGGGGGGGGGGGGGGGCCCAGTGCAAGGGCCGAGGAATGAGCGACCGTATCCTCCGTTACAGTCTCCATGGTCACCATCTCCACGGTCACCGTATCCTCCTATACCGTCTCCATGGTTACCGTCTGTGAGAGTGACCGGTGCGCTCGTGCGTGTGTGCAGGCCTGCTGCAGCGCTACACAGTCCACCGGGACGTGAGCCTCAAGCTGCTGTACAGCGTCGGCACGCTGGGCCTTCTCGCTCGGCATGGCCGTGATGGCTGCAGTGCCCAACCTGGCCGTGTCCATGACGATGATCGGCACCATGGGGCTGCTCTACGTGGTGCTGTCCTACTGCCCCTACGCCATGCTGGGCTTCTACCACGAGGACGATGAGGTGCGTGCAACACCCGCCCACACACCCCTGCAACAGTGCCGCAACAACAATGCTGCAACAACAACAACAACAATGCTGCAACAACAACAACAACGCCACAACGCACTCTTGCACGCTGCGGTCTAACTGCTACATGATGCCTCGACCCGCTATGAGACGCAACAACACGCGCGTGTGTCGTTGTGCCTCTGTTCATTGTGCGTGTGTCTTTGTGTGTGTGTGTGACGCAGTGATTAGCACACTGCGGCTACAAACCCGGTGACCCGAATTCGATCCCCATTCACACTACACCTGGCACACGTCTTTCTCTCTCCCCCTATATATTTACCTCCGCACACCTCTCCGCCCGTTCGCCCCCCCCCCCAGTACGTACGGCACAGCCCCGGCGGCACGCGGCGCGGGCTGGGCATCGACTGCGCCATCCTGTCGTGCCAGGTGTACATCTCCCAGATCCTGGTGGCGGCCGGCATCAGCGTGGTGATCGACGCGTTCGACACCGTGCGCTCCGTGCCCGTCGTCGCCTCCGCCGCCGCCTTCCTCGCCTTCCTCGCCGCCACCTTCATCCTCATCTACCCGGACGACGACGACGAGGAGGAGGAGAAGGAGAAGGAGGAGGGGAAGGAAGGGAGGGCCCAGGACGGCACGGGAGGAGGGAAGGGAGGCGGCGGCGGCTGTGCGCAGGAAGAGCGGCGGAGGAGGGCGCCGGCCACGCTGCAGCTGCGGCGCAAGCCTGGCAAGGGGGTGGAGGTGGAGGTGGAGGAGGCGGCGGCGGTGGTGGCGCCGACACCATCGGCGGCGGCGCTGCAGCTGGAGACGTGTGTGTGAAATAGTGAGAGAGTGCGTGTGTGTGTGTGTGATAGAGTGTGTGTGTGTGTGAGAGAGAGAGTGAAAGTGTGTGTGTGTGAGATAGTGTGAGTGCGAGAGTGCGAGAGTGCTGACTGTGACTGTGTTGAGAGTGACTTCCAGACTGGCGGCCTGCAGAGGAGAATGAGCGACCCTGCCACTGAGTGACGGTTGACTGGGGGTGAAGGGCTTCCAATAGAAGCCTCTCTCGGTCTCGTTTCTACCGCGCCGCTTGTGTCGGCCATGCTTTGTGTCCCGATAGGTTTGTCCTTCTCTGTTTGCACAGTTATCGCCGACGTGTAGCTCTCGTGTATAATTTGCATGATGCTGTAAGTTGCGTACACGTTGCATAATTGATCCTTGGGTCTCTACCAGTGATTCGATGCTCGTATCGATTTTAATTACTGATTTCATGCTCGTACATGCCTAACACGTGTGTGTGTGTGTGTGTAATAAACCGTGTGTGTATACACCTTTTTATAGGAGGTCACGAACAGAACTTGCCCCCAACAGCCCGTGTAGGCTAAAGGGAGACTTTATCTTTGTACGTGTGTGTGTGTGGGGAGAGCGGGGGTGTGTGGTTAGCGCTCTGCACTACGAACCCAGCGACCAGAGTTCGACACCGCTCACGGCCAACACCAGTGGCAATTATCTGAAACCGGTCCTGGGACTTCCCTAGGTCGACCCGGCTTCAAATGAGTACTGGTGCGGTGTGTAGTAAACATTGCTGGGGGAGACAAAGGCGGCCGGGCGTGGCGTTGGCCACTCGCCCCCTCGTGTGCACAGTGCCGGCCTTCATAGTTGCTATTCGCTAACAGCACTTGCCCAACAGTCTGTGAAGGCTGCTTTGTCTTTGTGCGCGGTCAGTCGATGGCTGTGCCGGGGCCCTACTGAGGCCCCCTCTGCGAGGCCCCGAGCCTCCGGAGGGGGCTGAGCATTCCCCGTTGAAGGCCCCCGTCTGGTCTGTGTGATTTATTTTACTCTGATCGTGATTTTTGAAAACCGAATCTCCGCGTCATTCCGTGGAACTCTGACGCGGGTGCCCGAAGCCGACGTCGTTTCCGGACGTCGCGTGTGGTGGCTGTGGTCACGGTGCAATTAAAGCGTGGGCCAATCGCTCCGCGTGTGCCTCTGTTTGTCACTCGGAGAGAGGGGCGGTGCAGTGCGAGAGCGGGGGGTGTGAGGTGGGGGTGTCATGATAACTACCTCTCTGGCCTTTCTGTGTATGTCCTATGAAGAAGCTCCATTGCCCGAAAACGTCACCCATTCTAAATTTTTCTCGTTAAAGAGAAACGGGTGTGCGATTGCGGGTGTTGAGAATGGACGCCGTGAGAGTACTGTTCAGAGGGTGTAATGTGATTGTTGTTTTAGTGAGTGTAGTTTGCTCATTTAGAGTGGTTAATGTGAGCGGTTGTAGTGACGACAGGTGGCGAGTGCTTGTAGTGAGAGCGGTTGTTAGTGAGTGGTGGAAGTGTGAATGTCTGGCTGTAGTGTATGCGAGTGCTGTGCTGTATGCATGGAGTCTTTGTGAACCGCGCTTTGTCTCACCACGATTGTCGCAAATCGCACGGCCACGAGGAACCGACTACGAGTCAAAGGTCTTGGTTGTTTTTGGGGACCCTAAGGGATCCTGGCTCCTTCACCCTGCTTGAGAATCCGGGGTCAGGGGGCAATCCGGGGTCAGGGGCCATTACGGGCGCCTAATTGGTAATTGGAAATTAATTTTGTTTTAAAAGAATCCTGGTCAATAATAACGCGCAGGTACAGAGTCCATCACTGCGCCCCCCAAGCAATCTCTCTCGAGTCATCTCTCAGCCGGTCTCTCCATCCATCTCCATCCATTTCGCCAGCGTCCATCCATCCATCGCTTCATCTCTCACCATCTGTCTCAAATATCATCTAGGACCCCGATCTCTCTCTCCATCTATCCAGCCATCTCCATCCATCTCCCCATCAGGCAGTCTCCTCCAGGAACCAGTCTCCTGCTCCTCGCCTCGTCTGTCAGCTCGGAGCCAGGTGCAGGTGAGTCGACTGAGCTGGTACTGGGACAGGGACCAGCGATCCGTGATCTGTATCCAGAGGTCTGGGTGTCTTGATTCTGATCCGAAGACGTATGGACCCGGCAATGGGGAACGCGAGAAGGCAGCGTGGTTGACGATCGCTCAATGTCACGTCTTCTGGCTCCGCCTGGCTTCTGAATGATTTCTCTGATGTCTGCTTGGATTCGCTTTCATCTGCCACTGTCGCGTTTGAACATCACCCGATGACAAGTTGCAGGCAGGGGTGTTGAATCGTTTACTTTAGGCAACTTTTACAGCATCGCAATCGGAATATTTCTTTAGACTGGAGGAGAATCCGGTGAGCTATGAAGCTCTGTTCACAGACGTCAACAACAACACGACGGTGCAAAAGAGAGAAAAGGGTGCACAACTCGCCCATTACCTACTCACCACTCACCCACCTCAAATAGTCAACTCACCCACTCACCTACCCACCCACTCGCCCACCTCACCTAGTCAACTCACCACCTACTCAGCAGTCCATCGGCCTGCAACTCAACTGCAAGCTGCACGGTGATCGAGTCTTCTCAGGAAGTAACGAGTTCAGTACAAAAATGCAAGACATAACTTTAACAGAGCACAGAATATATGGATTTTGTGCACTCGAGAATCCGACTATAAAATATGCGTGTTTATAAATGTACGTACGTGTACTTTACATTTAGTCAAACACGAGATTTGTTCAATGTCGAGGGTTTGTTAGTTCGTCGTTACCCGTGACACCACTCACAGACTGCTGGGGCAAGTGCTGATAGCGAGCAGCACCTTATGAAGCCCGGCACGGCGCACGATGGGGTGGGTGGCCACGCCCGGCCTGCCTTTGTCTCCTCAGTTGCGATGTTTATACACCGCACTAGGTACTCATTGGAGGCTGAGTGGACCTAGAGGAGTCCCAGGACCGCTTCAGATAATCGTAACAAGCCTTGACCGTGAGTGGTGCAGATAATCATCACTGGTGTTGACCTGGTTAAATTAACTCACCGACTCCCACGCCCACTCATTCATTCACTCAGTCGCCCACCACTCATTCAGGCAGATTACGCTTGCAAATGGATTATACCGAGAGTGGTTCAGATTAATCATAAAACGTCGCCCCCCCCCCCCCCCCCCCCCCCCCCCCCCCCCCCCCCCCCCCCCCCCCCCCCCCCCCCCCCCCCCCCCCCCCCCCCCCCACCCCCCCCCCCCCCCCCCCCCCCCCCCCCCCCCCCCCCCCCCCCCCCCCCCCCCCCCCCCCCCCCCCCCCCCCGTTTAAGTTGTTTCGCAAATACGTCGTCACTGAATTAAGACCGCTACCTGATTAGCGTCGTCTCAACCCGCACGAACGTCGCGGACACCGTAATCAGTCATTTCTCGCAGCTCTGTCGCCTCGGGCTTCGCCTCCACCTGCGCTGTAAATTGCTTTGATTTGACGTCGCTTCGACATTCGTCGTCGGAACTTTTCGTCGGAACGCATCCCCTACGTAAACCGGGATTCACTGTGACCGTCACCGCTGTTGGGTGACCCTGAGCGGGGATCGAACTCGGGCGACTGGGTCCGGAGCGGCAGCGTTGCTACCCGCTGCACTGCAGCACGACACGCACACACAGCGTCGGTTTTAAGTATTTAATCGAAATAGGCGCATTCCTACACTTTTAATACAGGTGTTTTTTTAGGGGGGGGGGGGGGTTGGATCACGTAAAAATATAACTGTGTCGTTAAACCCGCCAGCACCCGACGCGACCAACTCGTAAGGTTTGTCACGTAAACGGAACGTGCCAATTCGTCACTAGCACAGCACACAGGTGGTGTGTTGGGGAGCCAAGCCACGGCACATTGGTCGCGAAAGCCTCCGCGTGAAACCTCCTACACTTAGCCGGGCAACGTTGGGGTCCGACGCGACCCCACGTGGCGTGGCAACGCGAGCCTGCAGTGGCGACCCACAGAAGACGGCGCAGGTGGGGGGGCTCAGGTGGGGCATCTCCACGTCGTCCTCAGTTCGGGTCGTCCCATGGCACACCCAGGGTCTGTTCCGTGAGCTCCTCCTGCACCTAGCCTGAACAGGGGGGGGCTCTGCCCGTCGTCTCAGTCGGTCGTCCCACCTGGGGTCTGCCCCGTGACTCGCTGCTGCCAACAGCGAGTCTTCAACACTTCACGTGTGACGGTCTCAAAATGCAACAACAACAACCGCCGCCGTTCACCACGGAGTGGCGGTGACGTCGCCACGGCGCTTGAACCACGCTTGAGCCACCTCATAGTTGCACCTAGCCTGGCACAAGCGCTGTGGTGACGTCACCGCCACTTAGCCGTGAACGGCGGTTGTTGTTGTTGACGCGATCCGACGAGACGCCTGCCCCCCCCCAAGAGTCTCCTGGACATCTGTAAAAAAAGAGCTTCAAGGCTCATCGGATTTCTCCAAGATAAATAAATATTCCGATAAGTCCTCAAAGTCTCCCTCGTGTCTGCTGCCCACCCACTACAGCCACCCACTTCAGTCCACCCACTACAGCCACCCACTACAGCTACCCACTACAGCCACCACGACCCAGAACCCCGACCAGGCACTGCAAGCTGTCCCCACGCTCCGGGATTTTGTATCTCCCCCCCACCGTCAGTTCCATCCAACCACCGACCCCCTCCCCAACCTCTACCAACTCGTCCTGCCTGGGACTTCCCTGACAGCCGTGGATTCTTCAACTGCTGTCTTCATTCCATGCATCATTTGAGGCACTGCGACGGAGAGATGTTAACTACCTCGCCTGGTATGCAGGAGGTCGAGGGTTCGATCGCGAATCTGACGTCGGCTGTATATTTGGACTTTTCATCTCTCTGTTTCTCCCCGTGGTCGCGTGGATTTTTCTCCGCGTCCTCCGGTTTTTCCCTCCACATTTAGCATAGAGACGTCACGCGTTCCGCTCATTTGGCTGCTACGCATTTCCACGTGATGAGCCACTTCGTTGAGCTATCGTTTGTGGCCAAGTCGCTTCTGAAAAACATCTACACAGCTCAGTTGGCATCATCTGGTAAATAAAAACTTTAGTTTTTTTGTTTAATTTCCACCAGCCCTACTCCCACCGAGCAGGAGTTCAGGTTGTCACACCGGGCCAACATTTCGGGGATGAAGATAGGGTGGTGATGACGATGAGAGTAGGGAGGGGAAGAGGGAGAGGAGAGAAAGAAGGAGCGAGCAGCAGGGAGCTGCATGGAAGAGGAGCGGCGTCTGTTTTCACAGTGGGCGGGGAGAAGGGAGGGGTTTAGAGTGGGAGTGGCCACACGGGAGTCACGTGGTTTATGGGAGGCTTTAGCTGACCTCGAGACAGATGTATAGATGAGAGGGGTCAGTGGGGGTGACCCCACTAAAGTCACGTGACGTACAGGAGGCTGTGGTGGTTTAAAGAGAGAGAGAGATGTTTTGCATGATTCGACGAGGACTTGGTGCGGGTTTGGGTGTTGGTCAGCACCTGTGCTTCCAAATAATCAATCTGGCACAGCGATACACCATGCCTCGCTTGCCCTGTCTCATCACATTGTCTCCGCCCGCCCTCTCCACTCGCAATCTCTCCCCTAACTCCCCCCCTCTCTTGTACACAATCCACCGATTCCGCTCCCTTTTCCCCCCCTTGCCCCCTGGCACTGGCACAAACTTCCCCTCCACATGAAGCAGCGAGCACCCTGTCCACCTTCCGCTCCTCCCTGGCCCCATCCTCCATCCCTCCATCCCCAGGTACCTACCGTAATTCCCGTACCCACGAACCTTCCTCCCCATACCCCAATCCCTGTTCACCGTATCACTTTCAGCTCCCCTCATTGTACCACTCATACCTTGCTTGTAAAGCGCCTTGGATAAAGGCGTTGTATAAATCATGAGATAAGATAAGCTTTTTTAAACTATGCTGCCGATTCATACGCAGATGTTCGTTTTGTTCGAGCACCACCCGACGCACCCGAATAAAGTTTGTCACTCGACGAACAATCGCGCTTGTTTACTGGACTGTGTCGTCGGGTGGAGGAGGGGTGTACAAACACACATTAGAGCCAATGCATTGGTGAGCGGTGGCTACGAACCGGGGCCAGCCCGAGTTCAATTCCCTCTCACGGCCAACATTCCGCAGCGAATATTTGAACCCGGTTCCGGACCTCCCCTAGGTCGACTCGGCCTTAAGTGAGTACAGCACAGTACACGTTTCTGCGTGCACTGGGGAGACAAAGGCGGCGGTCCGGCCGTGGTTGTTGGCTACCTAACCACGCCATCGTTGAGCCCGTTGCGGCCTTCATACGTGCTACTTCGCTAACAAGCACTTGCCCCACTAGCGTACGAAGGCTACACGGGGGGGGGGACACCTTTGTCTTTGTGCGCAGGGTGGAACGCGGCCACCGCTTCAGCAACTGGGCGCGAACCTTCACGTGTCGCCCAGAGCTCTTCTTCACGCCCAGCAGCGAGGGCCGAGATCCGAGACGTGTGAACAGCACGCATGCAGCAACGCGTGCCGCACGCGTGCAGCACGGCATATACAGCACGCATGCAGCACGCATATACAGCACGCATGCAGCACGCATATACAGCACGCATGCAGCACGCATATACAGCACGCATGCAGCACGCATATACAGCACGCATGCAGCACGGATATACAGCACGGATATACAGCACGCATGCAGCACGCATGCAGCAGACACGCATGCAGCAGACCACATCACGCATACACATATAGCAGACACGTGGACACACGCATGAACACACACAACACAGCAACAACAACGTTGTTATGTGGTGGTTGTCACGGTGGTGGTTGTCACGGCAGCGGTTGTGACTGTAATGATTGTTGTGATGGTAATGGGCGTGGTTGTAATTGTTGTGGAAGTGGTGGTTGTAATGGCTGTTGTGGTGATTGTGGTTGTAATGCAGTCAGTGGTGGTTGTAATTGCAATGGTAGTGGTTGTGATAGTTTTTGGTGGGTAGAGCGACGCTCACAACAACGAGCGGGGCGCCGGGTGGATTAAAACACAGTAAGTTGCCACAGTAGTGGGCACAGATGGTGCATCAGCCAGTCATCTCAGTCAGTCGACCCGTGGCACCTGCTGGGTCTGCCCCGTGATCTCTACCAGCGGAGCGTTCTGACACTTCACGTGGTCTTAACGTGCACCTAGCCTGGCACAAGCGCCGTGGTGACGTCACCGCCACTTGGTGGCGAATGGCGGCTGTTTCGTGTTGTCGTGGTAGTAGTTGTTATGGCGGTGGTGATTGTGGTTGTGGTGAGTGGTTGTGGTGAGTGTGGTTGTGGTGAGTGGTAGTAGTTGTTATGGCGGTGGTGATTGTGGTTGTGGTGAGTGTGGTTGTGGTGAGTGTGGTGGTTGTGGTGATTGTGGTTGTGGTGAGTGTGGTTGTGGTGGTTGTGGTTGTGGTGTTTGTGGTTGTGGTGAGTGTGGTAGTAGTTGTTATGGCAGTGGTGATTGTGGTTGTGGTGAGTGTGGTTGTGGTGATTGTGGTGAGTGTGGTTGTTGTGGTTGTGGTGAGTGTGGTTGTGGTGAGTGTGGTTGTGGTGAGTGTGGTTGTGGTGAGTGTGGTGGTTGTGGTGAGTGTGGTGGTTGTGGTGAGTGTGGTTGTGGTGAGTGTGGTTGTGGTGAGTGTGGTTGTGGTGGTTGTGGTGAGTGTGGTTGTGGTGGTTGTGGTTGTGGTGAGTGTGGTTGTGGTGAGTGTGGTTGTGGTGAGTGTGGTTGTGGTGGTTGTGGTGAGTGTGGTTGTGGTGGTTGTGGTGAGTGTGGTTGTGGTGATTGTGGTTGTGGTGATTGTGGTTGTGGTGATTGTGGTTGTGGTGATTGTGGTTGTGGTGGTTGTGGTGGTTGTAGGTGCTGGCCCAGGCGCGTGGTGCCGGGCGCCACGTGAAGGTGGTTGGGCTGGGCACTCCCCCCTCTGACATCGCCTGCACCGAGGGACTTCATGGTCAGCCTGGAGCGCTTCAACAGGGTGCTGCAGGTAACCCCTTCCAGCAGGGTGCTGCAGGTAACCCCTTCCAGCAGGGTGCTGCAGGTAACCCCTTCCAGCAGGGTGCTGCAGGTAACCCCTTCCAGCAGGGTGCTGCAGGTAACCCCTTCCAGCAGGGTGCTGCAGGTAACCCCTTCCAGCAGGGTGCTGCAGGTAACCCCTTCCAGCAGGGTGCTGCAGGTAACCCCTTCCAGCAGGGTGCTGCAGGTAACCCCTTCCAGCAGGGTGCTGCAGGTAACCCCTTCCAGCAGGGTGCTGCAGGTAACCCCTTCCAGCAGGGTGCTGCAGGTAACCCCTTCCAGCAGGGGGACACTTAAGCCTTGTGACCGATGCTCCAGTATCAATGCGTGGTGTGTGTGGTGTGTATGGTGTGGTGTATGTGGTTGCTGTATGTGGTTGGTGTGGTGTGTGTTTGGTGTGTGGTTGGTGTGGATAGTGTGGTGTGTGGGGTTGGTGTGGTTGATGTGGTGTGTGTGGTTGGTGTGGTTGGTGCATTGATGTGTGGTTGGTGTGGTGTGTGTGGTTGGTGTGGTTGGTGTGGTTGATGTGGTGTGTGTGGTGTGTGTGGTTGGTGTTGTTGTGGTTGGTGTGGTGTGTGTGTTTGGTGTGTGGTTGGTGTGGTTGGTGTATTTGATGTGGTTGGTGTGGTGTGTGTGGTTGGTGTGGTTGGTGTATTGATGTGGTTGGTTTGGTGTGTGTGGTTGGTGTTGTTGTGGTTGGTGTGGGTGTGTGTGGTTGGTGTTGTTGTGGTTGGTGTGGATAGTGTGGTGTGTGGGGTTGTTGTGGTTGATGTGGTGTGTGTGGTTGGTGCATTTGATGTGGTTGGTGTGGTGTGTGTGGTTGGTGTGGTTGGTGTATTTGATGTGGTGTGTGTGTTTGGTGTGTGGTTGGTGTATTTGATGTGGTTGGTGTTGTGTGTGTTTGGTGTGTGGTTGGTGTGGATGGTGTGGTGTGTGGGGTTGGTGTGGTTGATGTGGTGTGTGTGGTTGGTGTGGTTGGTGTGTTTGATGTGGTTGGTGTGGTATGTGTGGTTGGTGTGGTGTGTGTGTTTGGTGTGTGGTTGGTGTATTTGATGTGGTTGGTGTGGTGTGTGTGGTTGGCGTGGTTGGTGTGTTTGATGTGGTTGGTGTGGTGTGTATGTTTGGTGTGTGGTTGGTGTATTTGATGTGGGTGGTGTGTGTGTGTGGTTGGCGTGGTTGGTGTGTTTGATGTGGTTGGTGTGGTGTGTGTGGTTGGTGTGGTTGTGGTTGATGTGGCAGGTGGACCAAGAGTCTCGGCGCGTCACCGTCCAGGCCGGTGCGATGCTGAGTGATCTGAACGAGGAACTCGCCAAACACGGACTAGCCCTCTCCAAGTAAGCACAACCACGCCACAACACCCCTCACACACCACACCATACACACCGCGCCACACACACCACTCACACCACACCATACACACCACGACCACCAAACTACATCACACCATACACCCCACACAGTGGATATATTTTCAAGGATCTGTGAGCTGCGCACAAAACCCAGCCAGGTTAAACCCAAGATGGATCGTAGGCAGGGCCAGCCTGAACGTTCTCAAACCGGCGCAGGTGTTCATCCTCCTTCAGAGGGGTCCACGTTTCGCAAGCTGAGAGAACGTAGGGCTACATGTGTGTCAAACTTCTTCAGCACCGTACGTCGCCAAATCGTGCTCATCACGCGTGTGGTCGGGAAGACACCGGGAGCTTCGTGTGGAGTGACAGGCCAGGTAGCCCAACCCCCTCCTCCTCCTCCTTTGCCCCCCCCCCACCATCAACCCCCCACCTTTACCCCCCCCCCCCCCCCCATGACCCCCACACCCCCTCCCGCCATGACCCCCACACCCCCTTCCCCAATGACCCCCACACCCCCTTCCCCAATGACCCCCACACCCCCTTCCCCAATGACCCCCACACCCCTCCCCCCATCACCCCCCACCCCCTTCCCCCATGACCCCCACACCTCCAGTATCGGGGCGGTGTCTGACGTCACGGTGGGCGGGGTGATTGGCACCGGGACCCACAACACGGGGGCAGCGCACGGCATCCTCCCCACTCAGGTGAGGGCACCTCACCCTCTCACTCCTCACCCTCTCACCTCCTCACCCTCCCTCTCCTCACCCTCTCACTCCTCACCCTCTCACTCCTCACCCTCTCACTCCTCACCCTCCCTCTCCTCACCCTCTCACTCCTCACCCTCTCACTCCTCACCCTCTCACTCCTCACCCTCTCACTCCTCACCCTCTCACTCCTCACCCTCTCACTCCTCACCCTCTCACTCCTCACCCTCTCACTCCTCACCCTCTCTCTCCTCACCCTCTCACTCCTCACCCTCTCACTCCTCACCCTCCCTCTCCCTCTCCTCACCCTCTCTCTCTTCACCCTCCCTCTCCTCACCCTCTCTCTCCTCACCCTCTCACTCCTCACCCTCTCTCTCCTCACCCTCTCTCTCCTCACCCTCTCACTCCTCACCCTTTCACTCCTCACCCTCTCACTCCTCACCCTCTCACTACTCGCCCTCTCACTCCTCACCCTCTCACTACTCACCCTCTCACTCCTCACCCTCTCACTCCTCCCTCTCCCTCTCCTCACCCTCTCTCTCCTCACCCTCTCTCTCTTCACCCTCCCTCTCCTCACCCTCTCTCTCCTCACCCTCTCACTCCTCACCCTCTCTCTCCACACCCTCTCTCTCCTCACCCTCTCACTCCTCACCCTTTCACTCCTCACCCTCTCACTCCTCACCCTCTCACTACTCGCCCTCTCACTCCTCACCCTCTCACTACTCACCCTCTCACTCCTCACCCTCTCACTCCTCACCCTCTCTCTCCTCACCCTCTCTCTCCTCACCCTCTCTCTCTTCACCCTCCCTCTCCTCACCCTCTCACTCCTCACCCTCTCACTCCTCACCTTCTCACCCTCTCACTCCTCAGCCTCCCACTCCTCACCCTCTCACTCCTCACTCTCCCTCTCCTCACCCTCTCTCTCCTCACCCTCTCACTCCTCACCCTTTCACTCCTCACCCTCTCACTCCTCACCCTCTAACTACTCGCCCTCTCACTCCTCACCCTCTCACTCCTCACCCTCTCACTCCTCACCCTCCCTCTCCTCACCCTCTCACTCCTCACCCTCTCACTCCTCACCCTCCCTCTCCTCACCCTCTCACTCCTCACCCTCCCTCTCCTCACCCTCTCACTCCTCACCCTCTCACTCCTCACCCTCCCTCTCCTCACCCTCTCACTCCTCACCCTCCCTCTCCTCACCCTCCCTCTCCTCACCCTCACTCTCCTCACCCTCCCTCTCCTCACCCTCTCACTCCTCACCCTCCCTCTCCTCACTCTCTCTCTCCTCACCCTCCCTCTCCTCACCCTCTCACTCACCTATAGCGGTGAGGGGCAGCCTAGTGTCCGCTCACGGCCCGCTCACGGCGCGCTCACGGCGTGTGGCGTGGCCCCGCCGTGCAGGTCTGTGCGCTGTCTCTGATGCTGGCGTCGGGCGAGGTGGTGAGCGTGAGCGCGGAGTCGAACCGGGACCTGCTGAGTGCGGTGCGCGTGCACCTGGGCGCGCTCGGCGTGGTGCTCACCGTCTCGCTGCAGTGCGTGGCCGCGTTCCGCCTCGCCCAGCGCACCTTCCCCAGCACGCTGGCCGAGGTGAGCGTCACGCACACACCGCGGCATGGCGTGCGACGCCTCCGACTTGCACGGTTGGCTACGTACGGTGCGAAAGAAGTTCAACATAGGTGCACAGGTGAGCGTCACACGGGCGCGGTGTCGCGCGGGTGAGTGAGCGAGTAGCCCCCTGTCTATTCTAGATTTGAAGCTTTCGTGACTGCAAGGATCCATACTCTTTGGTTCTATTCGGTAAAGTCACGTAGGTAAAAAATAAAACAACAAAAATCACGACGTTTCGGCCACAACACAAGCGGCCTATACCGATAGATGATATCATTGATAGATGATATAATTTCTCAGGTCGATGTAGCCCTCAAAGGTATAGGACACATCCAAGCAGACGTCGCGAGAGCTGAAATAGCCACTATTCTTAAGAATGCTAAGAAACCCATTAGAATATTTACGCTAATTCCGTCGTCAAGGCACCTTAATCCCTCTCACACAGCTTAAAGGTGCACTGGCGTTGCCGATCACTGTGCTACACCTTTCATCATGCTACGTCCGCCAATCAAATGCTATTTTTTATGCTGATTCCTTTGTCAAGGCACCTTAATCCCTCTCACACAGCTTAAAGGTCTGTTTCACTCCAGCGCAGTCTTCCAGACAGGCTGGTCCCTTCACCTGAAGGCCGCTTGTTTTGTGGCCGAAACGTCGTGATTTTTGTTGTTTTATTTTTTACCTACGTGACTACCGAATAGAACCAAAGAGTAAAGCCCCCTGTCTCCCTGCTCACCAGGTGCTGGGTGAGCTGGACACTCACCTGTCGCGCTCCGAGTTCTTCAAGTTCTTCTGGTTCCCCTACACCGACCACGTGACCGTGTTCTACATCGACCGCACCGACCAGGTGAGGGCAGCCGAGTGAGCGAGGCCAGGGCAGGTGAGGCCAGGGCAGGTGAGGCCAGGGCAGGTGAGGACAGGGCAGGTGAGGACAGGGCAGGTGAGGACAGGGCAGGTGAGGCCAGGGCAGGTTAGGCCAGGGCAGGTTAGGACAGGGCAGGTGAGGCCAGGGCAGGTGAGGCCAGGGCAGGTGAGGACAGGGCAGGTGAGGACAGGGCAGGTGAGGACAGGGCAGGTGAGGACAGGGCAGGTGAGGCCAGGGCAGGTTAGGCCAGGGCAGGTGAGGACAGGGCAGGAGAGGACAGGGCAGGAGAGGACAGGGCAGGTGAGGCCAGGGCAGGTGAGGCCAGGGCAGGAGAGGACAGGGCAGGTGAGGACAGGGCAGGTTAGGCCAGGGCAGGTGAGGACAGGGCAGGTGAGGACAGGGCAGATGAGGACAGGGCAGGTGAGGCCAGGGCAGGTGAGGCCAGGGCAGGAGAGGACAGGGCAGGTGAGGACAGGGCAGGTGAGGACAGGGCAGGTGAGGACAGGGCAGGTGAGGCCACCAAGCGTCCCCGTTAGGTTAGGACAGTTCCCGTAAGGCCAGCGAGGATGTCACAGCGTTACCTGCGGAGTGGGCGGGGCTACCTGGGTGGTGGGCGGGGCTATCGGAACAGTGGGGGGAGCTACCTAAACAGTGGGCGGGGTTATGATAAATTAGTGTGGGGGAGGGGGGTTGATGGAGGGAGGTTCGGCCGGTTCAGATTGTGTCCCGGTTCAGCCCTTCCAGACATTTGTGAGCGTTGAGGTGTGGCTAAGTGTGGGTAAGGTAAGTAAGTAAGTCAGCTTTATTGATCACATACCCATGCACACATGAGGTACATGGCAGTGAGATTCTTTGTTCCCGTGTCGCTCTCTCTCAGCTTGTGCAAATTAACAACAACAACAAAAATGTAAACAGCGGCAACAATATTTTAAAAAATGAATTTAAAAAAAATAAGTAAAATCGCTCTGCAGATGATGAAAGTGACATGTGCATAGCAGAAATATGGTCCCCTGCGGGAGAGCTCTATACATGATCTTGTACCTGTGAGTGTGGTGTTCACGCTGTCCCCGTGACCCTCAGCCCATCAAGAATCCCCGCAGCTGGTTCTGGGACCGTTTGGTCGGTTACTACCTGTTCGAGTTCCTGCTGTGGCTCAGGTACTTGTGTGGTACTCACCACCACGCGCCTTGCCGGATCATCAAATACGATGTTTCATGGAAACTTGTAACGCTGTGTCGCTGCAGTGTCCGCTCATCGCTCTCGTAGTGAGAGAGAGAGAGAGGGGAAAGACTCAGAGGTGACAGGAGGAGGAATCACAGACCAGGAGCGGGAAGGCAGCAGCAGCAGCCATGCGATAAGCCAGTACCATCAATTGCCCAAGCTCTGCGGTGCTCTATCGTTTAAAGTTTTCTCGGCCAAGTCGGGAGTGTTTACACGTGGGAGGAAACCGGAGCACCCGGAGAAACCCCCCGCGTGCGAGGGGGCAACACTTTATCCCATTGCAGACAGAACAGGTGGAGTCCAGGTGGAGTCCACATAGCGCCATCTCCTGGCGAGCAAAGGGTCCGGCTCCCCCTCGTCGCCCATCCTTGGGTTTGGAAGGGAGTTCCACAGCCATCTGTGTGTGATCCACCAATCCTAGCTGCTGCTGCTGCCTCAACACGCGCTGGGGTACAGGCAGCCGCACCTCCGGTTAGCACGGTTGGCTACGTACGGTGCGAAAGAAGTTCAACATACACACATACAGCCACGTGCAGCGTCGCCACCACCACCGCCGCCGCCCGGCTCATGGACACGAGATGAAGATCGTTCAGAGTAATTATCATAAAAAAATATATATTTTCTTTTTACATCTCGCCATTCATGCTGACACAACCGCTGTTCATGAATTATATATAACTAGCTGTACTACCCGGCTTCGCCCGGGACTTGGATTCACCACACCCGGCCGCCTTTGTCTCCCCAGTGGCGATGTTCACACCACAACAGTTTCTCGTTTTAAGCTGAGTCGACCTAGGGGAGACCCAGGACCGGTTAAAATAATCGTCACCGGTGGTGGCCGTGAGCGGAAATCGAACTCGGGTCGCCGGGTTCGTAGCGCGGCGCACTAACTACTGCACTACAATGCGTTACGCTTCCACACGTGCGGGTCACGTGACAGATTGATGTCACAGCTCACTGGCCGTGCAAAAAATATATGCATTGAGCTCCCCCCACCCCCCCGGTAAAAAAACTAAAGTGTATTTTTATAATTTTTGCATGGTGTACAGTCTGGAAAGTACCCACATGGCAAATTTCCAGTTTGTTGCATGTCGGGAAGTACGCTAAACATTTTGAACAGACACACATAATCACAACTTTGCCTTTTATATGTATGGAGATGACCAAATCCCATATACTGTACACGGTTGGCTACGCACGACGCGAAAGAAGTTCAACACATACATTATACACATACATAGACTCAATACTGCCCATAGGCTCAACACTGCCCATAGACTCAACAATACCCATAGATTCAACACTGCCCATAGACTCAACACTGCCCATAGACTCAACACTGCCCATACACTCAGCACTGCCCATAGACTCAAAATCCTCCCTTAAAGGCACGTCTCTTCTCCATCGCCCATTCCCCTACCATTTCCTTCCCCTCGCCCCTCCACTCCTTCCCGTCCCTCCGCTACCCTTCCCTAACCCCCACGCACCCCTCTATCGTCATCACCCATTCATCATCTCTTGCAAGCCCCTGCCATCCAAACCATCCTCGCATCGTGCCCGCCTATTGTAATTATTCAACTCCGTGAAGCCCCCTCCCTTGATGAAAGGTGCGCTGTGAATATTGAACAAGACGAGATGCCACCTCCCCGCAGGAGTCGTCGTGCTGGTTAGTTTTCTGGCGAAAGTGTTCTGATCGGTGAGGATGTTGCGGTGAATTTCGATGGCTGCCGCTACTGCCAACCCGCCTGCCTCCTCTCCCCTGCACCCCCGTGCCCCCCCCCCCTCCCGTGTCTCACGGCAGCGTCCTCGTGCCGCGCCTCGTGCCGTGGATCAACCGCGTGGCGTTCCGTGCGCTCTTCTCGGGGCGCACGGAGCGCGTGGACCGCAGCGACCGCATTTTCAACTTCGACTGCCTCTTCCTGCAGCACGTGCAGGACTGGGCCCTGCCCCGGTGAGGTGCCCCCAAGGCGCTCCCCCCCACACACACAAAGACAAAGAATCTGTGCCCCGATGACCCCGTGCCCCGATGACCCCGTGTTTCTGTTTGTCCCTGCCTTCCCTTATCTACCTACCCCTGTATCCCCATGTCCTCCTGTCCCTGTAACGCTTTTCCCTGTCTCCCCACGTTCCGTTGTCTCTGTGTCCCCATGTCCACGTGTTCCCCCCGTAACCCCGTGTCCCCGTGTTCCTCCGTGATCCCCCGTGTCCCCGTGTTCCTCTGTGATCCCCCGTGACCCCGCGACCCAGCGAGCGAGCCGGCTGGGCGCTCACCCAGCTGTCGCGTTGGGTGCAGGCGACGCCGAGCGTCCCCGCCCACGTCCCCGTCGAGGTCCGCTTCGCGCGCGCCGATGACATCCTGATGAGCCCCTGTAGCGGGCGAGACTCGTGCTACATCAACATCATCACCTACAGGTGTGTGCGTTTCGTGCGCGGGTGGGAGCGCCTGCGAGCGAGCGGTGTCGGCAGAGACCCCCGCTCACGGCTATCAACACCGGCGACGATTATCTTCAGCGATGCTGTGGGGGCCTCCTCTAAGTCGACTCAGCCTCAAACGAGTACCTGGTGTGGTGTGTGAACATCGCCACTAGGGAGACGAAAGTGGCCGGGCGTGGTGCAGACCACCCACCCCCTCGTGTGTCGTGCCGGCCTTCATTAGGTGTTACTCGCTAACAGCACTTGCCCCAACAGCCTGTTAGGGCTACATGAGGGTTCTCTGCGTGTGTACCTGCGTGTGAACCCAGGCCCTATAACCGCGAGGCCGAGCGTGATGCGTACTGGGCGGCCTACGAGGACATCATGCGCCGGGCAGGGGGGCGCCCCCACTGGGCTAAGGTACAGGACCCCCCCCCCCCCTGTGAGTGGGGTCCCCTGAGTGTAATGTAACGGGGTCTCATGCGAGTGAGGTCCCTTGTGAGTGGCGTACTGGGGGGGTAACAGGGCCCCCCTCTCTGCCCCACCGCGCCCCCAGGCGCATGGATGCACCGCAGAGGATCTGTCACGCATGTACCCGGGCCTAGAGGAATTCGCTCGACTCCGCTCCCGCCTGGATCCCCACGGCCTCTTCCTCAACCCGTACCTGCAGCGCGTGTTCACGGGGGCGGGGGAGGAAGAGGGCGAGCAGAGGGACGCGCGGGAAGGAAGGCAACCTGCCCACTGATCCTAGTCTCATAGTAACCCACCGATCACTCTCCCCTCTCTCTGATCCCACCCTCCCACTGATCCCACCCTCACACGGATGCCACCCGCACACGGATCAGAATCGGAATCTTCATTGAGACTGGAGGAATCCGACAAACTATAAAGCTCTTTTTCACAGATGTCCAGTAGGTACGAGTGGTAAAATGACAATGAGTCGAGGAATAGTGCACAGCAGTAGATGACTTTTCTCCAGGTCACTGAAGAGACATAGTAGTGGTTTTGTTGGGTTAGATCGCGTAAATATATAAATGTTGTGTCGTTAAAACCCGCCACCACCCGACACAGCCAACTAGTAAGGGTTGTCGCGTAAAGAGAACGTGGCCAATTCGTCACTAGTACAGCACCACCGGTGTGTTGGAGAGCCAAGCCACAACATTTACAATCTGAGTCCGACGTTTCGCCAGTAATTACAACTAGCTTCATCAAGCGACAGCCAGATTTGTAGTTCATGTACCTTCGGTAAGTGAGAGATTGAAAATGAGGGCGAGGGGTTTATAGACGAGATCTGCCATATCTACAAGTGGAAACGCAAGCAGCTCGTCTCCTCCCGCAGACGACGATGTCTCCATTGATGCGAGCTTACGCAGTAGGTCCAGTTCAGATATGGGACGAAACGAGAAGTAGAGACGATGACACTTTCACTCACGTTTTTTTTTTTGTCAGAGGAAGATGTGAGAGATGTGAACAGCGGTGGTGTTTTGTTAAAGATATATATCCTGCTGATCCAAATCGAGAATTAAATCCATTGACCTATGGACAATGGTCCCAAGCTCACACTGATCTGATTAAGGCCCTGGCTTCCCTCAATAAAAAAATAAATATTTCATCCGCCCTGTTTGTTTGTCGTTTGTTGTTGTTGTTTCTTATCGCAGCGCCATGCCCATACTTTATCGCACTTGACACGGGCATTCGTTGGGAAGCCTTCATCCAGCTGTGGATTGAGAATGGGTCGAATGCGAAGACGGCGTGTTGAGTTGTGATGCCTACGACCTGCACGGAGCGAGCTGCCCGCAGGAGGGACGATGCCCTCACAACCACCTACACGTGCCATGGGTCGTCAACCAAACAAACACGAAGAGACATAGTAATAGGTTTTACCCTTTTAACTGGCGCAAAAAACTGACACCGTTATTCAAGGCATCATGTCTGCAATAACCACAACACAAGCATTTTGACTGCTTGTGTTGTGGTTATTGCAGACATGATGCCTTGAATAAAAGTGTCAGTTTTTTGTGCCAGTTAAAAGGGTAAAACCTATTACTATATCTTGTTACTGGCAAAGGAGGTCTCATAACGAAGAGACATTTTTGTTCAATGCACTGTGTGTGTGGTGAACACGAGGGGGCGGGGAGGGAGGGGCTATGGGACTGGAGGGGCGGGGGGAAGGAGGGGCTACGAGACTGGGGGCGGGGCTATGGTACTGGGGGGGGGTTGACTGGAGGTGGGACTATGGGACTGGGGTGATGGGGCTGGGGCGGGGCTATGAGTTTGGGGGCGGGGCTAAGGTACTAGGGGGGGGGGTTTGACTGAAGGTGGGGCTATGGGACTGTGGTGATGGGGCTGGGGGCGGGGCTATGAGTTTGGGGGCGGGGCTAAGGTACTAGGGGGGGGGGGGTTTGACTGAAGGTGGGGCTATGGGACTGTGGTGATGGGGCTGGGGGCGGGGCTATGAGTTTGGGGGCGGGGCTAAGGTACTAGGGGGGGTTTGACTGAAGGTGGGGCTATGGGACTGTGGTGATGGGGCTGGGGGCGGGGCTATGAGTTTGGGGGCGGGGCTAAGGTACTAGGGGGGGGGTTTGACTGAAGGTGGGGCTATGGGACTGTGGTGATGGGCCTGGGGGCGGGGCTATGAGTTTGGGGGCGGGGCTAAGGTACTAGGGGGGGGGTTGACTGAAGGTGGGGCTATGGGACTGTGGTGATGGGGCTGGGGGCGGGGCTATGAGTTTGGGGGCGGGGCTAAGGTACTAGGGGGGGGGGGTTGACTGAAGGTGGGGCTATGGGACTGTGGTGATGGGGCTGGGGGCGGGGCTATGGGACGAGAGGAAGCTTTGGGGGCTGGGGGGGGCGGGGCTATGCCTGGCGTGGGGGGCAGTGTGGGGGAGGTGGAGACCGGCTAAAGCGGTGACGGCTTCTCAGCCACCACCACCGCCACCATCCTCATCATCCTCCTCCTCGTCGTCGTGTCCGTGTCTCGCCATGGCGAGCGACGCGTGTGCCCACGGGCTGCTGAGGCGCGCGGGGGAGCTGCTGCTGCTGCTGCCGAGCGAGGCCCGCGCGGGTCCCGGCGAGGAGAAGCCCGCGGCGGCGGCGGCGCCGCTTCTGCCGCTGCTGGTGCTGGGGGCCGCGGCGGCGGCGGCGGCGTTCGCGGGGTTTTACCTGCGGCGCGCGGCCCAGGTGAGCGGCGGGTGCCAGGGTGGTGGTGGTGGTGAGGGTGGTGGTGGTGGTGGTGAGGGTGATGGTGGTGAGGGTGGTGGTGAGGGTGGTGGTGAGGGTGGTGGTGAGGGTGGGTGGTGAGCCGGGGGGGGGGGGGTGCAGCGGTGTCGTGGGGCGGTGTGAATGAGTGTGGAGAGCGCTTACAGCACTTGCCCCTACGGTCTGTGAGGTGGTGGTGGTGGTGAGGGTGGTGGTTGGGGCTGTGAGGAGTGTGCGTGGTGGATGTTGTCCAGGGAGCGGTGGCGCAGTGGTTAGCGCGCCGCGCTACGATCCCGGCCACGCGAGTTCCATTCCCGCTCACGACCAACATCGGTGATGATTAGATTTGGTGACTTTACCGAAAAAAACAAAGATTAATCGGTGACAATTGCCTGAACCGTTCCTGGGCCTCTCCTAGGTCGACTCAGCCTCAAGTACCTGGTGCGGTGTGTGAACATTGCCACTAGGGAGACAAAGGCGGCCGGGCGTGGTGCTGGCCACCCACCCCCTCGTGTGTCGTGCCAGCCTTCATAGGTGCTCGCTAACAGCACTTGCCCCAACAATATGTTAAGGCTACCCGGGGGACCTTTGTCTTGGGGGCTGTTCGGGACTCCACTGGGCCCGGCCGGCGTCACCTTTGACCCAGTGACGAGAGCGTGAAGCAATCCTTCTGCGAGTGCCACTGATTCACAAGGGCCGCTGTCTCACTGTGTCACTCACCTGGGGGGTGGAGGGGTGACTGTCACTGACATGGTGCAGATCGTGTCACTGACATAGGGGAGGCTGTGTCACAGACGTAAGGGAGGCTGTCACTGACATAAAAGTGACTGTGTCACTAACATGGGGCACACTGTCTCTAACATGCGGGAAGCTGTGTCACAGAGCGGTGACTGTGTTACTGGCTAGGTGGAGCCTGTCACTGACTGTGTCACTGATATAGGGGCGACTGTCACTGACTGTGTCACTGGCTGTGTCACTGACTGTGTCACTGACTGTGTCACTGACTGTGTCACTGACTGTGTCACTGACTGTGTCACTGACTCACTGACATATAGGGGAGACTGCCATTGACTGTGCCATTGACATAGGGAAGACTGTGCCACTGACTGTATCACTGACATAGGGGAGACTGTGTCACTGACTGCATCACTGACATAGGGGAGACTGTGTCACTGACTGTGTCACTGACTGCATCACTGACATAGGGGAGACTGTGTCACTGACTGTGTCACTGACTGCATCACTGACATAGGGGAGACTGTGTCACTGACTGCATCACTGACATAGGGGAGACTGTGTCACTGACTGTGTCACTGACTGCATCACTGACATAGGGGAGACTGTGGAGGCTGTATCCGCGACAGAGGAAGCCGCTGCGTCGTCAGTCATTGACGTCGGCGAGGGAGGCCGTGCACGCATTGACGTTCACAGAAGAGGCTGCCTCACTGACTCGTGGTGCGCTGTGTCATTGGCCAGGAGCAGCCGGGCCGTTTGTCACGCATTCCCCGTGCCGCGTGCCGTGCCGCGTGCTGTGCCGTGACGCGTGCTGTGCCGTGTCGCGTGCTGTGTCGCGGAGGCTGTGTCGCGTGCCGTGCCGCGTGCCGCGTGCCGTGCCGTGTGCTGTGCCGTGTCGCGTGCCGCGTGCCGTGTCGTGTCGCGTGCCGTGTCGTGTCGCGTGCCGTGTCGTGTCGCGTGCCGTGCCCTGTCGCGTGCCGTGCCCTGTCGCGTGCCGTGCCCTGTCGCGTGCCGTGCCCTGTCGCGTGCCGTGCCCTGTCGCGTGCCGTGCCCTGTCGCGTGCCGTGCCCTGTCGCGTGCCGTGCCCTGTCGCGTGCCGTGACCTGTCGCGTGCCGTGCCCTGTCGCGTGCCGTGCCCTGTCGCGTGCCGTGCCCGCTGTGTGTGCTGTGCCGTGACGCGTGCCGTGCCGTGACGCGTGCCGTGTCGTGTCGCGTGCCGTGCCCTGTCGCGTGCTGTCCCCGCTGTGTGTGCTGTGCCGTGTCGCGTGCTGTCCCCGCTGTGTGTGCTGTGTGTCCTTGCTGTGTTCCGCGTCGTGGCAGCTCGCTGCGACCTTCAGCACCGCCCCCGCGTCTCCGTGGTCACTCTGGACCCTTGCCCAGAGATTGTCAAAGACGGGTTCCAAGGTGTTTGTGAGGTCACGATGCCACGTGGGGATCGATATTGTGTCATTTTTTATTGCTGTTGGTGGTATGTTCTCCTTTGTGCGGTTCCTGCATTGTTTGTGGGATTTTAAAATACATTTTTTTCATGACGTATTTCTTTTTAGCTTTTTTACAACCGTTAGCATGACTGTATCTCACATCAGCGATTCGTTTGTGGTTATACATCATTTCTGAATGGCGTGGCCATAGGTTATTTAGATAAAGTAATCGACCACTTATGGGTTCCATACTCTTTGATTCTTTCGGTAAAGTCACGTAGTTAGAAATAAAATACCCACGACACCAAATACAATGGAGCAGAGGGCCCTTTGTTAATAAAAAAAACACAGAGCAATCGCCACACTGGAGTGCTCGGTGGCCTGGGCAAGGCAGTACACCAAGTAGGTTCCAGAATTCGTGCTCGGTGCGGTGAATGTTTTTTTTCTCTCCGGGTTCGCCGGTTTCCTACAACGTGAAGGCAAACTCGTACACACAGACGGAGGGCAGTGGAGCGATGCTCACAACAACGACTGGAGCGCCGGGCGGGTAAAACGCAGCGAGGTGGCACAACAGGGGGTGGGGGGCACACAGTTCTGCCAGGCATCTCAGTCAACCCATGTCGCCTGGCTCTGTCCCGTGACTTCTTACAAAACCGCGAGCCCTCGACACTTCACGTGGCCTCAATGTGCACCTACTCTGGCACAAGGCTGTGGTGGCAAACAGCGGTGGTTGTTGTGTTGTATACAGTATGCTGCCCAGGGGTTTAACCGTCATGTTGTTGAGTGTTCAAAGCTGCAACAATAACAACAGCAGCAGCAGCATCAACAGATTCGTGTCTTTTAATTGCACGAATACAAATATATAAATTCTAGATTTATATTCATCAGCATCAGCAGTCGCCTTCTTTCTGCCCTTCATGTAAATATTTTTGCAATGTTAATGATTCTAGATTTGAAGCTTTCATGACTGCAAGGATCCATACTCTTTGGTTCTATTCGGTAAAGTCACATAGGTAAAAAATAAAACAACAAAAATCACGAAGTTTCGGCCACAACACAAGTGGCCTTCATCAGGTGAAGGGGACCGTACTGTCACGAGGACAGCGTTGGAGTGAAGACAGTCCAGCCCAGGTCGCGTCCTTTTAAGCTGTGTGGGAGGAAACAAAACGCTTTGACAAAGGAATTAGCATAAAGTGACCGTAAAGCACAAGAGGACCGGCGGGGAGGGGGGGAGTGTGAAGTGGAACGCAGAGGACCGGCACGGGGGGGAGGGTTTACAAATGTAGGTGTGAAGTGAAATAAGCTTCTAATTAAAGTTTGGTATATCACTACTTGGATAAATACCATTGAAAATTAGTTTAATGTTAGGTATGATTTAGAACATCTTTCCAATGGTTGCTTAATTTGAAACCAAATTAATTTGAAACCAAATTAAGCAACCATTGGAAAGATGTTCTAAATCATACCAAACATTAAACTAATTTTCAATGGTATTTATCCAAGTAGTGATATACCAAACTTTCATAGAAGCTTATTTCACTTCACACCTACATTTGTAAACTCCCACCCCCCCCGTGCCGGTCCTCTGTGTTCCACACCCCCCCCCCCGTGCCGGTCCTCTTGTGCTTTACGGTCACTTTATGCTAATTCCTTTGTCAAAGCGTTTTGTTTCCTCCCACACAGCTTAAAAGGACGCGACCTGGGCTGGACTGTCTTCACTCCAACGCTGTCCTCGTGACAGTACGGTCCCCTTCACCCGATGAAGGCCACTTGTGTTGTGGCCGAAACGTCGTGATTTTTGTTGTTTTATTTTTTACCTACGTAATGTTAATGATTCATTGTTTTCCCCGATGATAATATTAAAATTGTTCTTGAAGGCTGGCGAACATTGTTCTGTCCCTGTAAATAACAAAAACGTCACGAAACACGTTCGTAAACAATGGTCCGCCTCCTTTAAAGTAAATAAACAGAGAGGCCAGTCGAGAGAGAGAGATTGTGTGAATACGAGTTAGACACCGCACTTTCTTTACACAACATAATTTTATGGCAATTTTTGTTTATATAAACGAATGATGTAATGAAATCACACGCATTACATTAACAGTGCAGTTGTGCACTGCATTTTTTTGTCAACAATTGCAAAAATAAAAAAATTATAAACATTCAATAATTCAACATTCACTTTTACAGATACTTAATAACTTCGAACAACGTTACATAAGCACCAGCGTGCTTGGCGTAGCGGCAACACGCACAAGCCTCTTGACGCACGGGTCCCAGGTTCAAATTCTGCTCTACTTTTATTTCTCTCAGCCTGATGACGACCGCTTTGTGTTGCAATAAAAAAACAACGTCGTGGGTTTAAAAATAAATAAATTTATTTTTCTTTTTGTATTTTCTATCTACGTGACTTTACCGAAAGAACCAAAGAGTATGGATTCCTGCAGTCACTAAAGCTTCAAATCAAAACTTATGGGTTATATCACTCGATTAATCGGATCACGGTAGAATAATTGCGCAGTTAATTGTGCGAGATGGAAAGTTATTTGGGTGATATCACGGACAGGGGCACATGGGGGAGGCCACGATGTAATGTTATTTTGCGTACGAGTCCACTGTACGTCTGCGCATTTTCAATTAAAACCTGAACTTGAAACCACTTTTGAAACGTATCTCCGGGACAGTTGCTTAACTCGCATGTACTTTACGACAAAGAGTAACGTCACCTGAGACGAACCTTACTCTAGCTTAACCCTAACTAACCATAGCCAAACACCAACCTAACCTTATCTTAATCCTTCCATAAACTAAGCCTAAAATCTTACACTAAACCATAACCTAACCCAACCCTTATACAACCCTAATCCTAACCTAACCTATAATCTAAGCCTAATATAACGCTAAACTTAAACTAACCCTTATCTTATTATAATCCTCGCCTTAATGGTAACAAAACCATAAACCTAACCTAACGCGAAATATAACCCGAATATAACCAACCCTAACACTTGCAAAAATGTAGGCTGACGGAAACGGACACGATTTCCCCTGGGGTTGCAGCTAAATAGGGGACGTAATGAATTAATGAAATGCCTGCCGAGTGTGGCGTTTGTTTCCAGGGGAACGAACCTTCAGGGAAATCTGACGTTCCATTTCCCTTACACCGGCGGCTCCGTCGCCCTGCAAGTGCCCACTCGGGCCACTGCTGGCGGATGGGGGAGCCGGGGGCCCTTCGACTCGTGGGTGGAAACTCGAGGGTGGCGTTCTTGGTCTGCTCTTGAATGTTAACCAGACAGCCGCGTCGGTCGATTTGGGAGCACCCACACTCTAACTGCACCTCCCGATTAGCACGGTCGGCTACGTAAGGTGCGAAATAAATCCTAGATACATACGTACGTACGCCACCACACGCGTCCCTGCCGATCGACTATAACTGTGGTGTTTAACCCGTTCGTGCTGCTGGGTGGACAAAGGTGTTGAGAGGGGGGGGGGTGGAGGAGGGGGCGTGGGGGTGTACCTCCTGGATTGCAAATCCATTGAGCTGACCATCACACCCCTGTGGCAGGGTCCCATGAAGTTGAAGAAGATGCCGCATGGCATCTTCTTTGCTCTTTTTGCCCTCCGCTCCATCTCTGCCACGCCTTGTGTTCCCTCTGGTTTCTCTCCTCTCTCTCTCTGTGACAAAATACACTTCCCTTGGCGACCGTGACAGCAAGTCGAGCGAGCGAGCGTGAGTATGTGAGCGAGGGAAGTCTTTGTGGGGTAGCGGTGGCGCAGCGGTTAGCTCTCTACGCTACGAGCCCTGGTGACCCGAGATCCATTCCCGCTCACGGCCAATGCCAGTGACGATTATCTGCAGCACTCCTGGGACTCCGCGAGCTTCGCACAGCCCCAAGTGAATACTTGGCGTAAACATCGCCACTCGGGAGACAAAGGCTGCGGCCGGGTGTGGTGCTGGACGCCCACATCCTCGCGTGCCGTGTCGCCTTTCGTGGGTGCCGACTCAACGCCGCTTACCCCAGCAGTTTGTTAAGGCTACACGGGGGGATCTTTATCTCTGTGCGCGTGCTCACCGCCCTGCGCGTGTGCCCGCTGTGCCGTTGCCAGCGCCCCATGCTGGTGGCGAGCGCCGGGTTCCGCCGCTTCCTGGACGACCACTGCCCCATGGTTCGCGAGAAGTTCTACCCCACCTTCTGGTGCACCGACGGGCGCGCCCAGACGCTCGTGCGCGTCCTGCTCAAGACGCCGGTCCCCGTGCACTACCGCAAGTGAGGCGCCGCTCGCGACGCTCGTGCCGGCAGCACGCCGACCGTTCGCACCGCGCCGTGCTGGTGAACTTCACTCATTCATTCCTGAAGCTAAACTCGCCACCCCCACACACAGATGGGGTGGGAGGGCCTGGCGAGATGCTAACTACCTTGCCAGGTATACAGGATGTCGTGGCTTCCATCCTTACCTTGGTCGTGGGATGAATTACAAACGATTTTAAAACTGGAGAAGAGGGTATCAAATGTCGTTGAACATTGTAATTGTTTTTAATGTTTTGTTTTGTACTATTTCGTGTTGTGTGTGTGTGTGTGGTGATTTCTTTTTGCGGACTTATTGCCAGGTCCAAGAGGTTTTTAACCTCAAGGGTGTTTTACCTGGTTAAATAAAGGTGAAATTAAATAAATAAACAACTAGAAAAAGAGCTGTTCAGCTCAGTGGGGCCTTCCGTGGTAAAATTAAAAAATAGTTTAGTTTGATTATCAGCATCACCCACTGCTGCTGCTCCCCCCCCCCCCGCATCTCTACCTCCCTCGCCCCCCCCCCCCACCACCTTCCCCACGGCACCAGCGAGCTGATCCGCACGGCTGACGGCGGCCACATCTCCCTCGACTGGGCGGACAACGACACGAGCGAGCGGCACCCGGACGGGGCCACGCGGCCCACGCTGCTGCCTGCTGCCGGGCCTCACGGGCAGCAGCAGGGAGAGCTACATGCTCTACATGGTGCGCACCGTCCTCTCCATGGGATACAGGTGAGGGGGAGGGGCGGGGGAGGGGCGGGTTGGGGGGGAGCCCCCCCCAAGACGTCGCCGTGCCGGTCTGCCCCCGACGAAGAGGACTTCCCCCTCGTCCAACGCCACCGTTCGGGGGGCGCGTGGCTCGTCGTTGAACAGAGCCGGCGGTCCGGCTCGCCGACGATAGATCCGGAACGACAGCCGAGCGGTCGTGACCTCCGGCGACCCGGGGTGGGGGCGGCACGACGGTGCGGGCCGGATCACGGCGACACCTGGCCTAGCAATCCAGAGGGCCCCGTCGATGGCCTAGCGACTGCTTCTACTTCTCGATTCACATCTATGGGACCCCTTTTTTGCCGGTATTAAGATGATGTGAAAAGAAATGGCCTCGTGACCTTTCCGGCAGTAATACAGGAGGCGTTAAGATGTTCGAACACCAAATAGACTCCTAATCGTTGTGAAAGATCCTTTTGTGTGCTGGTGTCGTGGTTCAAATTTCAAAAACTTGCTCAAATTTCTCTCATGGGGAATTACACACGGCAATATCGCCACCCCTTCTGCTGCATAACTACGGCAGACTTGTTCCTGCAATAATCCTTGCGCTGTAACGATGGCACGCGTGCCAAACGTACTGCGTTGCCGTTGTTATTTTCATTAACACCCCGTATCGCAGTGCAGTTGTTGGGTGTTGTTGGTGTTTGTGTGAGATTGTACGTGTGGCCGCTCCCCCTGTGTGTGTGTGTGCAGGTGCGTCGTCTTTAACAACAGAGGCTTCGGCGGGGAGACGCTTCTGGTGAGTGAGCAAGATGAGTGGTTTGTGTGTGATGAGAGGCTAGTTTGTGTGCATGTGGTGTGGTGTGTGTTAGGTGTGTGTAATTTGGTGTTTGTGTGTGTGTATGTGTGTACATGGTGTGTGTGTTGGATGATGTGTGTGTTGTGGATTTGTGCGCTGCGCTATGAACCCGGCAACCCGAGTTTGATTCCCGCTCACCACCAACACCGGTGACGATTATCTGAAGTGGTCCTGGGCCTCCCCTTGGTCGCCTGAACCTCAAATGAGTACCTGGTGCAGTGTGTAAACATCGCCACTAGGGAGACAAAGGTGGCCAGGTGTGGTGCTGGCCACCCACCCCTCGTGTGTGCCTCCTCACCAGCCTTCATAAGTGCTCCTCGCTAACAGCACTTGCCCCAAAAGTCTGTTAAGACGATATGGGGATCTGTGTCTTTGTTGTGGATTTGGACCATTGCCCAAAGCGTCGCCTATTGTACATTTTTCCTTCAGGGGAGGGCGTTATTGACGAATATGAGCTCTTATGTGTTTACTTGGCGTGCGCTCGTGTGTATGGAGATGAGCACGCAGTGTATTTCTGGTGTGGTGTGTTGCGAGTATGTGCGGTGTGATGGGAGTGTTGGCTGTACGCGTGGTGCAGTGTGCGCTGTGTTTATTGGGCGGGCGTGCGAGCGCGAGCCGTCCCCGACGAGATTGCGCATCCTGGGGCTGTCCACCTGGTGGGCTGTGGCCACGTTGCAGCGAGGCTGTCGCTCTCCCCCCCCCACCACCCAGACCCCGCGTACGTTCTGCGCTGCTGACACGGAGGACCTGGAAGCGGTGCTGGACCACGTGCGCTCCCTCCTGCCAGACGCCCCCCTCGTGGGCACCGGGGTGTCCCTGGGAGGGTGAGACAAACAAAGACAAATACAAAGATCTCCCGTACAGCTTTAAACGACTTTTGGGGAAAGTGCAGTTCGCACCTATGAAGGCCGGCACGGCACACGAGGGGGTGGGTGGCCAGGGCCACGCCCGGCCGCCTTTGTCCCCCTGGTGGCGATGTTTACACATTGCACCAGGTACTTATTTGAGACCGAGTCGACCTAGGGGAGGCCCAGGACCATTTTAGATAATCGTCACCGGTGTTGGCCGTGAGTGGGAATCGAACTCGGGTCGCCGGGTTCATATCGCAGCGTGCTAACCGCTGCACTACCGCTCCCTACTGGGGGATGAGACTCGCACGCACACTCACACAACGACGCGACCAACAGCCGCCACTCGCCACGATGCGGCGGTGACGTCTCCACGGCATTCGCCTCAAGCTATGTGCACCTTGAGGCTCTCGCGTGAAGTGTGGAAGGTTCGCAGTCTCATTAAGCTCCCAATCCCTCTCTCCCTCCAATCCCCCCCCCCTCCTCCTCGTATCCTTCCCTTTCCTCCTATCCCTCCTCCTCCCTTCCCATCTCTCTCTCTCTCCAATCCCCTGTCCTTATCCCATCTCTTCCCATCCTATCTCCGCTCTCTTACCCTCCCCCCACCCCCCGTGCCCCCCCCCCCTCCCCGACCGACAGAATGCTGCTGCTGAACTACGTTTCGCGCTCGGGCAGCGAGTGCCGGCTGAGTGCCGTGCTCACGCTGTCGGCGGCGTGGGACACCTTCGCCAGCTGCGACTCGCTCGAGCGCCCGCTCCACTGGCTCCTCTTCAACCGCTTCCTCACCAGCAACCTGCGCAGGACCGTGCACAGGTGAGCGCTGACCGCCCGCCCACCCACGAACTCCGTGAGTGAGATGAGTGAGGCGGTGAGGTGGTTGTTTAACCGGGTCGACACAAGTGACGAGCGGTGCCCCTCCCCACTCCATTCACATACGATCGCATGTATGTGTGTGTGCGTGTTGAACTTCTTTCGCACCGTACGTTGCCGAACTTGCTAATCGGAGGTGAGGGGGAAGGACAACAAACTAATCTAGATGATTTTAAAGTGCATGTGACCTCTCCTCCCCGTCTCTTTCTCCTTAATTCCAAACCTGCACGTCTACACACAGCACAAACAAAGAGAGAGTTACCCCCAACCCACCTCCCATAGCCTTTAACAGACTGTTGGGGCAAGTGCTGTTTGCATGCACCGCTGCATGCCGACAGGTCACACGAGAGGGAGGAGTGGGAGGCTCGGGCTAGGCCCAGCCGCCTTTGTCTCCCTGGTGCTGATGTTTACACGCACCGCACCAGCTATCCATTTAAGGCCGAGTCGACCTCGTGGAATCCCAGGACCGGTTCAGATGTTCGACGCTGATATTGGTCGCGAGCGGGAACAGAACCCGGGTTGCCGGGCTCGTAACGCGGTGCATCAACCACGGTGCCACCGCTTCCCAGGCTCGCTCGCTCGCACACACACACAGCCCCCCATGTGTTTGCCGGAGCACAGCAGGAGCGTGCGTGTGGTGCCTTTGTTGAGACCGCATCTCCCCCTGTGTCCAGGCACCGGGATGTGCTGGCCTCCAAGTTTGACATTGAGCACATTATGAAGGTGAGAGTTTAAAACCCGAATGCGGTAACCGTTGCTGTAATGAATGCTGTCACTCGCGCTTCCCTCTGCTGAGGCTGCGAGTCCTCGTTTAACGCGGCCGTAGATGCGTTCCTGCAAAAGGGGTCCTTGTACCATTGTATATGTGGGGGATGCGTTCCCGACGGCGTTATTTATTTCGTATGAGCAATGTATGAGGGCTTCATTGGGGGTATCGGTAATAGTGCAAACAATAATAACACAGATGGTGAACGTAATTTCATGAATACAAATAATGTATTATAATAACATCGGTAAATATGATGTACTGTCAGAATCAATATTTATGTATACTGGAGGAATCTGATGAGCTATAAAGCTCTTTATCACACATGTCCAGTAGGCGGTGGGTCAGAAAGTTACAACAAAAAATAATACAAACACAATAGGAGTGCAAAGTTCAAGAAAGGTAAACAAATATCTTAAAAATATATACTTATAAAACTACTATTGTTTTTTTTTTATCATATCAGCTAAAGCACACTGACCTATTAACTTATTTTGTAGAAGCGACCTGGCCACAAATGACAGCTCACCAAAGTGGCTTATCACGTGGAAATGTATAGCAGAATGTATAGCAGCCCCCACAATCACCACGATATTCCAGATGCAGAAAATGTGAATGCAATCTCAGTACGACGCACCGCGCTCGCGAGTGCATTCTACTGCACGCCTCCGACCAGGCAGCGGTAGGGAATCTTTGTCGGCTTTTATTTGATCACCTGGCTCTGTCCTGACCCTGGCCGTCGCTCAACCCACGCGTGCCCCCCCCCCCCCAGGCGCGCACGATCCGCGAGTTCGACCAGCGCTTCACCGCTCCCATGTTCGGCTTCGCGACCATAGACGACTACTACCACGCGGCGAGCCCGGCGCACGCCGTGGCGACCATCCGCGTCCCCGTGCTGTGCCTCAACGCCGCCGACGACCCCTTCTCCCCCATGCACGGTGACCGCTCGCGAACACGCACACGCACGCACACGCGCGCACCTACATAGACAAAGATCCCCCAGTATGGCCTCAACAGACTGCTGGGGCAAGTGCTGTTAGCGAGTAGTAGCACCTATGAAGGCCGGCACGGCGCACTGCACCAGGTACTATTTGAGGCCGTGTCGCCCTACGCCCCAGGACCGGTTACAATAATCGTAACAAGTTTTGACCGAGAGTAGTTCGGATAATCATCACTGGTGTTGACCTGCTTAAACAAACTCACCGACTCACTCACCCACTCACTCACTCATTCACTCACTCGCCCACTCGCTCACTCATTCACTCACTCGCCCACCCACACATCCAGTCAGATCACTCTTGCAAAATGACTCCTGCCTAGCCTCTCGAGCTGCACCTGGTTATTAAAACTAAACTAAACTTTACTAGGTAAGGCCCACTGAGCAATATAGCTCCTTTTCAGAAGCGACCTGGCCACAAACGATAGCTTCACGTAGTGGTTTATCACGTGGACATTTATAGCAGCCAAATACCCTTAAACGCATGTTTCTAAATGTGGGGGGGAAAAACCGGAGAAAAATCCGCACGACCACGGGGAGAGAGAGAGACACGCATACTCGGGATCGAACCCGCGACCCCCTGTAAACCAGGCAAGAGGCGGTTAACGTATCACCGCCGCGGCGCCCTGAAACAAAGTGAACCGTGGCGAGCTTCGCTCTTAACGACGCTGGCTCCTGGCCGCTTGTGTCCTCCCGACCCGCGGGCTTGCAGCGATCCCCGTGGAGGCGGCGCGGTCAAACCCGCGCGTGGCGCTGTTGGTGACGTCGTGCGGCGGCCACATCGGATTCCTGGAGGGGCTGGTGCCGCGCGGGCGCAGCTACATGGACCGCGTGTTCGCCGAGTTCACGCGCGCCGCCCTGGAGCACGCCCGCGAGCTGGAAGAGCTCACGGGCGAAGGGGGAGCAGGATGTGAAGGAGTTGAAGGAGTTGAAGGAGGATGTGAAGGCGTTGAAGACGACGTATGGCAACGGCGAAGGAGCCTCGTCCACTGAGTCGCTCGCAGTCTCGCCCGCTCGGACGCATGCGACACGCACGTACTCGCTCACGCTTACAGACCCTCGCGCAGATCTCGCTCGCACGCGCACACTCCCGCGCTCGCCCACTCGCTCGCACAGACTCCCCGCACCCACGCACTCGCTCGGTCGCACACAAGCTGGCACGCTCGGTCGGGGACGCTCGCACGCTGCCTTGCTGACAGACGCTCGCACGCTCACGCCTTGATTTTCACACCCATGCACACGCTCTCACTCGTACACACACGCGCGGCCTCTTGCACACCCGCCGGCTCGCCCTGGCTTGCACACTCGCAGACTCGTTCACAATGCAGACGCTCGCACGCACACCCACCAACATACCAACACACACACCAACAGACACACACAAACACACACCAACACACACACCAACACACCAACACACACACCAACACACACACCAACACACACCCACACACTAACACACACCAACACACACACCCACACACCAACACACACACACACCAACAACAACAACCGCCATTCGCCACTAAGTGGCGGTGACGTCACCACGACGCTTGTGCCAGGCTATGTGCACCCTGAGGCCACGTGAAGTGTCGAACGCCCGCTGGCAGGAGGTCACGGAGCAGACCCAAGTGCCACGGGTCGACTGACTGAGATGACTGGCTGATGCACCACCTGTGCCCCCTACTGTGCCAACCCGCTGTGCTTTAGCCACCCGGCGCTCTGCTCGTTCTGAGCGTCGCTCCTCCGCCCTCCGTTGTTGTTGGAGGGCGACTACCTCCAACTGCCCAGTAGCGTCCTTCACGAGCCTCCTCCACAGAGGCCGATCTTGACACCGCTGGTACCAGTCATCGGCAAGTCCACTCAGCTCCACGTCCTCCTGTACCACATCACTCCATCTCTTCTCTAGCCCGTGCCGCACCCGCTTAGCCCCCTCAATCCAGCCGAACAAAAGCTGTTTCGGCAGGCGGTGGCTGGGCATGCGGGCTACATGACCCAGCCATCACAGCCTTCCCCGCCGGAGGAGCTCACCGATGGGACCTTCCCCAGATCTTTCAAGGATTTGTGAGCTCCTCACACAATCCAGTCTGGTTAAACCCAGGATGGATCGTAGGCAGGCCAGCCTAAATGTTTTTAACCCGCGAAGATGTTCCATTAGGGGGGTCCACGTTTCGCAAGCGTAGAGAAGGGAGGGAATGACCGTGGCCGAGAAGACCTGAAGCTTAGTGCGGAGCGACAGACCAGGTAGCTTCCGCACAGCGTTACGCAACCGATGAAAAGATATTGCCGCTCGACTGATTCGGAGTGAGACCTCTGCCGTTAAACTGGAGCCAGTCATAAGCACACTGCCCAGGTATGGGAAACTCTCCACTCTCTCCACAACTGCCCCATCACCGATTGGGAGTTGTGGGGGTGGAGTGTCCGATGGTACAAAATACCTAAGCAGGTGCTTAGTTTTGGTGGGGCTGATGGTAAGGCCCCACCTCTTAGTGGCACGCTCCAGTCTCAGCAGCAGCGTCTCCAACTCCTCCTCTGAATGAGCAGCTATTACCAAATCATCAGCATACATAGCGTGGTTGAGCAATAGGGAGCCATCCCTTGACCGCACTCGGGCGTCGATCAGCCTCCCATTATATCTGTACCATATGGAGATTCCCCCGGTACAGCTATTGAAGGCTTCACGAACTACGTGGTCAAAATAGATGTTAAATAATGTGGGAGCCAGAGGACATCCCTGTCGCACCCCAAGGTTACCAGGGAATGGCTCTGACTCCCGGCCACGTAGTTTTACCCGGGCCCGCTGACCATCATGAAGGTCCTTAATGATCGTGAGCAGAGGGTCAGGTACTCCAAAAGCACGAAGAACAACCCAGAGCCCAGGCCTACTGATGGTATCATAGGCCTTGACCAGGTCAATAAAGCAGAGATGTAGGTCTTGCTGGAATTCCCTACACCTCTGCTGTAGCAGACGGACATAAAATATGGCATCTGTGCAGGACCGCCCTTTCCTGAAACCGCATTGGGGCTCCGCAAGCCTCTCCTCAGCGTGCCTGGCAAGGCGATGTTGAATAATCCTTGCCAGGACCTTTCCCGGCACACTGAGGAGTGAGATGCCCCTGTAGTTGTTACAGTCTGTGCGGTCCCCCTTCTTAAAAAAGGGGGACCACCAGGGCATCCTTCCAATCCTGCGGAACCCGTCCAGTGGTCCAGACTGTTGTTATGATGTCATATAGGGCAGTCTGTGCACAAACACCGCCCTCCCTCAGCATTTCGCTTGGGAGATCATCTCTGCCCGCTGCCTTTCCTGGTCTTAGACTCCGGATCGCCTTCAGTACTTCCTCAAGAGATGGCACCTCAGCCAGCCACTCACAGGGGGTGACTTCTTCCAATATTTGAGGCACTGCAGCCTCAGCAGGGTCATCCTCACTTTGTGCCACGATGTTTTCCTGGCTGAGGGATTTTCCCTCCCCCAGGACCTCACAGAAATGCTCAGCAAATCTGCAAACCTGTTCCTGGGGGTCGGAGATTGGGTCACCGTTTTTTCCCTCAATGATGGTAATAGGTGTGGCGCTGCAGGTTACTTTTTTGATGGAGTTAAATAGAGATTTGTGATCACGGGCCACTGAGGCAGACTCCATCTCCTCAGCAACCTGCGACCACCACCCATCCTTGCAGCGCCTCACGGCTCTCCGAACCTCCGAGCGAAGGCTGCGGTAAGCCTCATTCTCTGACGTGGGATTCTGTAGCCGATGACAGTGGGCCTGTCGCTTTTTCTCAACCATCCTGAACACCTCTGTCAGCCAGGGTCTCTGGGGAAGTCTGGACCGCGTACCCAAAGCAGCCATTGCAGCTGCATGAGTCACAGTCCTAAACCTCGCCCATTTACCCTCGACATCAGGAGGAGTCGGGGACGATGCCAATCCTATCCGCAAGCGATGATGAAATTCTCGCTTGCAACTTTCATCAGATAACTGAGACCAGGCCACTTTAGATTGGAATGGGGTCCTGGGTGTACACCCACCACCGGAGTGGAAGAATGGCAGGTGCATCTTACAGATGACTAGTCGATGGTCAGAGGGCAGATCAGCTCCACGGTAGGTCCTGGTGTCAAGGACATGGGCTCGCATCAGGCTGGTCCGTCACTATGTAGTCCAGCAGATGTTCTTGCTTGGACCCGGCATGCATCCATGATGTTGTGTGGATGCGCCGATGCCGGAACAGCGTGTTGGTAATTACAAGCCCATGGGCTGCACAAAAATCTAGCAGCCTCCTACCGTTGTTATTGAGCTGATCTGGCCCATGCCCTCCAATCACTCCAGACCAGGTGCCAGTATCATGACCAACTCGGGCATTGAAGTCACCCAACATGATGACTCTATCCCGAGGGGCCACTTTAGCCAGCACCTGTGACAGGAGGTCATAGAAGGCATCTGACTCATCGGCTTTGCCTGCATCACTCCACGGATGTTCATCTTCGGTGGGGGCATAAGTAACCACGACCACCATTCCTCGCCTCCGGTTGATGGGAAGGCGAGCCCAAAGTAGCCTGGGACTTACAGCTTCCCACACCTCACCGCCACGCTCCCACGCCCCCTTCATTCTTTTGTTCAAAATAAGAGCCACACCCTGTTGTTTGGCACACACCCACACACCAACACACCAACACACACACACCAACACACACCAACACACACACGCACACCCTCGCTTAGAAGGTCACTTGCATCCTTGCTCACACTCTTGACGGTCTTACATGCCCCTTGTACCGCATTATCGCACTGAACCCACGCCCGCTCCCCAATACTTCCATCGGTGCTACTCCATCCGTCAGCTCTCCGATACCACTAGACTATTGCTGCTGTCCAGCCGTTTGCACGCACACGCACACACACGCGACACAAATCTCCCTTAACAACAGAGATAACAATCGGTAGAAATTGGCCTTCAACGTACGTGTGTACGTTGAACTTCTTTCGCCACCGTACGTAGGCAACCGTGCTAATCGGAGGTGCGGGGGAAGGACAACGGAGAGGTTGACGGCTTAAATCACGAGAGGATCCCGACGGTCAGGATGTTGGCAAAATGTGGCCAAGGGACGGACAAAGAGGGATCAGCTGCTTGCACGACTTTAAGGAAGGAAGGGGGGTGGGGGAGGTGGCTTGGAGCTGTACGGATCGAGAGGAAGTTGGAGCCAAGAACTTGCCATTGGGCAGAGGACTACCATTTCAAGCCTTTTTACGCGAATACCACCCTATGCCTACTGAATCTTTGGCCTTACTGCTGTAAATGTCTTTCTGTTCTACGTCGGCCTTCCCGACGGCAGTGCCGGAAAGAGGGAGAGGAGAGCTTTGATTCCATGTATCACGCTTGACGCACGTGTGCCTGCGCCCGTGTGCGTTTGCGTGTGTGCAGTCATGTTGTGACGGGGCTTGCCACCTGTCCCAGTTTTGGCCCGCACAGTCGCTGCGAGTTGGCCATGGGGACGACATTGGCAGCAAGCGGATTCGTGAGTCCATTCCAGCTGCGTTTCCCGGTCCAGCCCTGTGTTCGTGCGGTACTCGCGCAGTACCGTACTGTACATCATCGACTGTGGTGCAGGATTCCGCACTCAGTGCGCCGGGACTACGATTCCCTCTTTCGGCCGCGGTTCCGCCATTGCTTGTCGCATTTCCTTTTACAAATAAGCTGCAAAGCGGCACGAGTTTGGGCTTCCACGGAAACGACGAACGCAATGTCGCTAATGAGCCTGGCGTTTTCGAGGATGCGAGTGAGCGAGTGAACGTGGAAATGTGCGTTGAGTGGAGCTGCAGCGGTTGGCGCACGGCGCTCCGGACCCGACCAATCTGGGTTCGATTCCCGGCCGCGGCTAACGACGTATCGCTGGCGAGTTGATATCGTTCATGGAAACTGGTACCCGCCTAAGGGGGCAAGACGTGAGTCGTACAGACTTCTTCACGTGGCCAATGAGAGTGAATTCGTTGATAGCCCGACTCATCCAGTGGGTTTCGCATGATTCACTGTCGTTTACCACTTTGAGACATTGGAAACGGCTCAAGTGACGCCAGCTCAGGCGGTTACTGACTGCACGAAATATATGCTCACCTGGGCCCACGGACTAATATCTGAACGGGTTCTGGAACTTCCTTAGATCGACTCAGCCTTAAGCAAACACGTGGTGCAGCTGTGAAAAAAAAAACCAGCACTGTGAGATCAAAAGAAAGTTACATTTACTGGGCGATGAGATGTTATGGCGCTTAATAGGTGCTTGCTAACGGCACTTGCCCCAACAGGGGGATATGTGTCTGCGTGTTTTGTGTGTGAGCGGTGGCGCAGTGGTTAGCGCGCTGCGCTACGAACCCAGCGACCCGAGTTCGATTTCCGCTCACGGCAAACACCCAGTGACGAATATCTGAACCGGTCCTGGGC